GCCCTGAGCTGGGAGGTAGATGGAGGCGCCCCACAGTCACTGATCTCTGTCTGCATCGTGCTCAGCTTGGTTTTCTGGGACGGTCCCCACTTGCTGCACGCACAAGCTTCTTTGATGGGGCTTAGCCGCTACCCTCATCTCTGAGTGTAAGGTTAGGATTTAGGATGTAGTCAGGAATTAGGCTGGTCCAGCAGAAGGGCAGCGGGAGATTCTCCCCTAAGGTCCATGACCTCACTAGCCCTGGGAAGCTGGCTAGCTTTCCGGCACCGGGCATGGTTTTCCCTTCTGTCAAGCAGCCTTAAATCCAATCAGACAGCTGTTGGGCGCCATGCCACTTATTGCTCCTTTATGCAAATCTTGCCATGTTGGTCATCGCCGTCCACGGGTGGGGCCGCTGGGGAGGATTATTTAATTGCTCCTCTCCACTGGCAGCCTGTATAGTATTTTCTGAAACCACGGGAGACTGCAGGAAAGCCTTTCAAATCAGATCCAGCTCAGATTAGATGAGTCCACTGTCCAAAGCGTGTGAAGATAGGAAGCGATGACAGAATAATGAGGAAGGCAGTTCCACTGTAGAGGAGGAAAATCTATACAGAGGGAAGAGCAAGTGACACCAGGTTGTTTGAGAAAGCCTCAAGAAATCATATTTACCTGAAATTATACACAGTGCATATGTGTGTTGTGTACCCATCTACACATACATACATAATCTTTTTAAATGTTTTAAAGAAATTTTTCATACAATATATTTGATCATTCTTCCTCCTCCCCCAACTCCTCCCAGACCCTCCTCTCCCTGCCCACCCAACTTCATGATCTTTTTCTCTCTTGCTCTAAAAAGAAAAGCAAAACAAAAAATAAAATTAAACTTTTTTTTTTTTTTTTTTTTTTTTTTAGGTTTTATGAGACAGGGTTTCTCTGTGTAGCCTTGGCTGTCTTGGACTCGCTTTGTAGACTAGGCTGGCCTCGAACTCACAGCAATCCACCTGCCTCTGCCTGAGTGCTGAGATTACAGGCATGTGCCACCATGCCCAGCTTAAAAACAAATTTTTAAAAAAGGAAATAAGACAAAAAATATACTAAAACAAAGTGCGCACACACACACAATCATGGAGTTCATTTTGTGTTTTCCCATTACTACTCCTGGGCATCGGTCCTGTCCTGGAGGGTGGTTAACATCCCCAATAACTCTATTGGAGAAAACGGATTTTTCCTTTTCCAGCAGGTATTATCTGCAGAGAGCATCTCCGTTAGAGGTGGGCTTTATGTCCGCTTCCCCTTCTCAGTGGTGGGAATCTGTGTGGTTTGAACTTGTGTAGGTCTTGTGGGTGCTATCACCATCACTGTGAATTCATGTTATCGGTCCTGATGTTTCCTTGGAGTTATCTAGCACCTCCGTTACGCACTTCCATACTGCTCCATATGGATGTGAGTGTGCCCAAACAATTCTGATTATCAGTGTAGCCCTGGCCTACCTCTGAGGGTTGAGGGTGACATCAGGCCCCTCCTAGAGAAGCATCTTTGGTACTGTTTACTTTGAAAAGGAAATCAAGTCAACATGCCTAGAATTAGATGTGACAGTTCTATCTATTGTACCTTCTTAATGAAGCCCTCTTCATGAAACCATGAAGGTCACAGCGCCAGAGGTGTGTGTATGTTGGTTTTCTCATTCTTCTATATTCTCAACTCCACTCTCTGGACATAAATGTTTCACTGTCATCTCTAAAATGTTTAGCTTGTTTACATTCACTCTGCAGTTGGGAGGAATTTGATCTTCAGGGTCATGATTAGATTTTTTTCATGTGTGCTTGTCAGATGGTAGGTTTTGGAAGATTTTATCAAGACAGTAAACTAGATGGTAAAACATACAGAATGGCTCCAGGATATCCCCACAGTGATGAGAAATGCCAAGCATAGCTGTCAAATATGGAGCTGATGCTGTGAACACTTTTTCCCTATTCAGATAAAAAAAAAAAAAAAAGCTTTACATTTTTTTAAAATCGATATATTTAAGTATAATTCTAAACAGGCTGAAATGTACTGCCATTTAATGCACATAAGAAAATCCTTGTAAGAGCATGTTTCGCCTATAATTATTTATAATGAAATATAAATTAACGGAATGTAAGAAATAGTAACTAACTGCTGTTATATCATAAGAAACGGCATTTTAGAGTGTTAAGTTCTCTGAAGAATTTTTGGCCATTTCTACTTTGTCTTTTTAAATTGTTCCCCTATTTCCTTACTGAACGAATTCTGGCATTTAAATGTTAACTCTGTAAGCCTTGTGTTTTCTGAATTCATTCCTTCTTGTAGTACCCGTCTCATGGTGTGATCAAAGTATTTTTGCCTCAGAGATATGTTGTCTTTCTTGTCATCTCAGCCAGTGACTGAGCAGGACCAGGATACAGAGACATCACTGTGTTAGCCATCCTTGGATTCCTCCAGCAGCCATCTTGTTCCAGCTTGGCTATAGAGCTGGAGGTCTCCTGTCTCAAGCTACCACATTCGGCCTCCTCCTGCTAAGGAGGACTTCTTCTCTACATCCACCTCCATTGGCTGCAATCATGCTGGGACATGGCCTCAAGCAGCTTACAGAACCCTACCTTCACCCACCTCAGAATTTCAGTTCATTGATTTTTTTTTTCTATACTACCTCAAAAATTATAACTCGCAGTCTGATAACAAAAGAACTGTCTGTAGACTATGACCTACAGGTGCTACTGATGTCTTGTCATTCCTTACCCTACAACTCACCTATCATGGACATTCACTTCTTTGTCTTCAAGCTTTTCTACCTTGTTGACTTGAGTATTATGCTTAAGTGTAGTGAGAACTTTGGCGTCCTAAAGAACCTGGGTATCTAAGCATTAGTCCCAGGTATGGGCTATGAGGATGCTTCACAGCAGCAGACTATTTGCCTCTCTCGAGCTCTGAGACGGCTGTGGTTCTGCCAGCTGCAGAGAATTTAATTCTGGGGCCTACCAGAGAGGGTGTAAAAAGGTCAGAGTCCCAAGAGAGGAGCCGTGCTGTTCCTCCGGCTGGTTCCTGCTCCTGCTTGTTTGTCAGTCTGGGTCAAGAGAAGAGACAAGAGGTGGAAGATGTCCTGACGAGATGAAGACTGGACTTAACAAGCCTAATCAGCAGGAAGTAAACTCAGCGCTCCTTTCCCCCTCTAACCTTCTTTCTCTCTAACCTAGTGCTAGGGTTTGGAAGGGACTGGGGTGGAATAAGGGTTGGAAAGGAGGGATAGAAGAATCTAAATAGTGTAAACAAATCTGCCTACACTCAAGTATTATATTTTGCCACCTTTGAATCCAGAAAGTAGAGCTAGGTGACCAGGGCCAAAACCTCCAGAACTATGGGACCAAATAAGCCACTTCTCATCTTAAATAGATCGCCTCAGCTATTTGTTTTAGTAAATGAAGGCTGAAACGGGTCATAGGCAGAGCTCAACAAGCCTCACTGCTGACTCCATCAAAGGTACATGTGAGAATACATGTCTCTGGCTGTTATACACTTCTTGTGAAAAAATAACAACCGTGTCATGTGAAAAGGCGGAGTTCAGTTAGATTTTGGTGCAACCTACAAAAAAGTTTGAGCCACAGTAAGCCAATGTGGAAACCACAGAGCCGCCATCAGGATGAACTCAGGACTGTGGCTGGCCTACGAAGAACCAAACAACTGTGCCATCTACAGTAGCTTAGGCCTATCCCCATTCCCTAGCGTAATGTGTAAGCCTCTCTATCCTTTCTCCACAGAAATGCTGGCTGGCCACATGCCACTGCAGGTTCTGCTCACACCCAGGGAAGAAGGAAAAAGGAAATTCTTTGGCCCAGGTAGAAGCGAGACTCCATGCAGCAGAAAGAATCTCAGCAGAAGTAACTACAGTGCGAGAAGGCAGAGATCTGGGGTGGGAAGAGAAGGAAGGAGAGGAATGGGGAAAAGAGGGGAAACTCATACTCTAAATGGGAACGAATGTTCCTCTGAAGGAATCTCTGGGCAGGCAGGGGTCATGGATCCTGGCCAGGGTGTCTAACCTCTGTGGAGAGGGCAGCAATAACAATTAGGAAGGCCTGCCTTCCACAAAATCAAAAGCCACATATCTCAGGAGAACTTAGCGCAGAGAACAGTAACATCCAAAATATTGTAGCTCTCAAAATTATGTTCTAATGTGGTGTGTGTGTGCTGCGCTCTGAGCCACAGCACACATGGAGGCCAGAGGACATTAGGGAATTAGTCCTCGCCGTCCACCTTGTTGAGGCAGGGTCTCTCTGGTTGTTCTCTGGCCCACAAGCTCCCATTTCTCATCTCTGCCTTCCCCATCACCACCATCAGAGTTGTGTCAGGTTAAGTGCTAATGGCAAGCACGTTCACTGAGCCATTTCCCTGGCCCTAGCTGTGATTTTAAATGTTAAATAGACATACACCACAGATTTTTTTTTTTCCTTAGAGAAAGTTAAGACTTGTTTCTACCAATATTTTTTAGCAGCTATGAGAAGCCAGGGCTGTCTATGTGCTAAAGAAACAAGCGTAAGTGAATAGTGAAATACGTCGTCAATTATTTGTGTTCCTAACAGTAACTGCTTTATTTCATTTCTTTTGAGACAGGGTCTCATGTAACCTAAGCTGGCTCTGAACGTACTGTGATATAGCCAAGAATGACCCTGAACTTGTCTACCTTCAGGCTGGAATTACAGCCTGTGCCCACGTCTGGTTTTGAACTCCACACACACTAGGTCGGCTCCATCAACAGAGATACAGCCCAAGATTACCCAATGACATGTCTAGTTTCGCTAGATACCGACTGAAGTAACTGCCGACACAGAGAATCCCAGTCTGTTTTTCTTCCAACTTAATATTCAGGGAGTTTAGTCCATAAGAAACTATACACAGAATTCTCACACAGGATTCCAAGACCTAAATTTATCAATCACAATTAGTTAGCTTTATCATTATTATTCAATGGCATGAAATGAAATTTTCTAAAAGATGAAATCTCAATTATAAAAATAGGATTTATTTTTATATAGGCACATACAGAATACAAGATGCATTTACTAACTACTTACAAATTCTGCTTCTCAGTTGGAAAGTTGTGTATAGAGTACAAAGAGAGGTAGGAATGCCTCAAAAGTCTCCATTGTATTAGATCCTCAGTCTCACATTTGTTTCCTTTCACAACTGGATTGGTCTTAGAATTAATCAAACATTATAGCATTTATTTTCCACGAAAAAAACTCTTATTGAAACAGGCAAGGTAGCACATGCCTTTAATCCCAGCACTCGGGAGACTGAGGAAGGCGGATCCCTGCAAGTTCAAGGCCAGCCTGGACTACAAGAGTCCATGACAGCCAGGGCTATTACACAGAGAAACCCTGTCTCAAGGAAACAAACAAAACTCTTATTAAAGAAACAACACATCTAGCAAATGTTTTTTATCTGAGTTTCAAGAAGATGTAATGAAGTAAAATATCTTTAAGCATTATCAATACTTTATTCTGTATATCTGACCTCCCCAGTCTGTGTACTCTGGTCATTATTACCTGAACTGGAAAACAGGAGTGTTACTGAACATGTGTGTCCCTTTTCTAAGCTGGGAAGCCAAATGTATCAACTGTTTGGCCTTGAAGCATTGTGCTTTGAATTAAGCCTGGTTCCAGGGCTTACACCCTGAAATTAACATACTGACAGATGAAAATGAAATGAATCAACTGTCTTCCCACAATAAAACCATCTTAATTCTGTTAGGTGCTGACTGTAAGTAATTACATTACTGTAAGAGTCCAACCTCATTTGCTGTGTATTTGGACACTTCCTTATATGACAGTAATAGCTCTGAGAAAGGGTGTTATATATAAAGGCAGAAAATATTCCTTTCAAAGAAATACATGTTCATACTTTACATTAGGAACTGTGTAGGCTAAGGATGTAGCTCAGTGGTAGAGCACTTCGCACGGCACAAGGCCCCACATTCAACCTATAGCACAAGAAAATAGATTACATAAGTAACTGTATTCAGTGGTGACTGTCTCAGCAGTGTACTCTGTAATGCCTTCAGGACAAACCGCATCTCCCTGTCTTCAGAGTTACCTGCACCTGTCAAACACCTGGTACAGAGGAGACCAGCAGACATTATTACTGGAGAATAGCATGTCCAGCTGCAGCTGACTCAGCAGCTAATAGTGTCCATTTCAGTGTTAGGGATAATTTTACTGTAGAATGCTAAAGAAAAATAACATGTACATTCTCATAGGAATGGTAACTCTGCATACAGTCCAGAGACAAAAGCAGTATTTAGGTGTTCCAAAGGCTTGTGGCTTGAACCTGTGGCCTGTGCAGATGAAGCAGGCAGGCGGTCTGGCTGAGCTACACCTCCTGCTTCAAAGCTGGGCTGTAATGGCAGCTAGCAGCGCCTTCCTCAGTTACACTGTTATATGACACAATAGGTGTACAGCAGCTTCTGAGCCATCGCAGTGTTGCCGCTGCTCTGATAAATGAGAGACATGTTGTAGGCAATATCTCTTCGTAAGTCTAACTGGTCAACTTCTATACCCTAGGAGGAAAAACAAATGAATGTATTATTTCCAGCTATCAACCATGGCAATATTATGACAAACTTCTATTATTCTCCAAAGTGATTTACATTCATACAATCCTGAAAACATTATACCTGACCTATTCTGATTCAGGTAACTATTTTAATCAGAGTTTCATCAAATTTCTAACCAACAGGTTTCCAGCCAGAGCAGAATAGACTTAAGTTCTGAGTCACTGTACAGCACTGAAAAACAGTTGTGACCTCCACTGAGAGCTTGTCAATGTTCCTTAGGAGGATGCTGAAAGCTTGGGAAGTTCCCTTGGAGTGACACTAGACACTTGCACTGATGGGGCTGAAGATAGATGCTGCTGCTCATAGCTGGCTTTGGGGATTAAGGTGACAGCTCAGCCTCGGACAGCATATGAACACCGGCCTGTGTCCACATGAGAGACAAGGAGGGCTGCCTGGGCACGCGCTTGCTGGGCAAGCCTCAGGACGTGTGTTCAGATTATTAGGACATGTAAAAAGTCTGTAAGACCAGTGACCCTACAGCGAGAGGGCTGCGCAGAGGCCTGCCAGAGGACACTGCCAACTAGCCTGCTGGATGCAGCAGAGGTCAAGAAACCCTGTCTCAAACACAGTGAAAAGCCAGGACCAGCACGAAGTTGTCCTCGGAGCTATACCATGTGCCACAGTACATATACGCTTGCAATCACATGAACATCCTCCTATACACAGAGAGTTTGCTGCTGTTTCTGTTTTGATGAGGTCAGTGTTGAATTTGGAAATGAACAATATTCAGACTTCAAGCTGCCAGCTCCTTTCTGGGAAGCTCAGGAGTCCCCTTTGCATATCTAAAAGAAGGTCCACATGCGCACAGGTTCAAATGCTTGTTAATCAGATGACAAGGCCGGGATGTCAAAGATTTTCCTGTTGCTGAATCTAATTATATAGAGACACTACAGAAGAAAAAAAAAAAAAAAAAGAGACAAGAACTTTCTGTAGCCTGATACAGCCTTCAGCTTGAGATCCTGCTTGGTCTCCTGTGAGATTACTGACATGTGTCACAACAGCAGGCCCCAAACAGAAACTTTACTCTGCAAGCTGTGACTTACTTCACTGTGTAAACAGGGGACTTCTCTACAGAAAAAAGGAAATGACATGCAGTTTTCCAGAGTCGTACCTCTACCACCAGTGGAGGGAGCGCCAGAGCCTTCTGGTAATAGTGGATCGCAAGGTGAGTCAATCCCAGTTGATGAAGGCCACGGCCCAGATTATAGAAGGACTCCTGGCAAGGCCCACGTATGCTGAGGTAGCGATTAAGGAAGGAAAAGCCCTACGGAAAAGAAAAGAATGTGCCGAGTGAGCGCATCTGAGAGTGCCACCCAAACCCTCAGTGCAGCACACTGAAGAGGAAGGCCGTGCACATTGTAGGTCTGGCTATATCGAAGGGAAATCATAAACATGTTGAGTGCAGGGAGTCACACTGACGAGATTGTCTAACCTGGTTCCTGACTGGAGGGTTGCTGAGAGCTCACTACACAGCCTACTCACACTGTGAGCACGTTCCTACCGCCCTGTTCAGCACACAGCTGGCTGAGTTTATGTTCACATTGGAATCAACTATTTTTAAGAGCATAGTTCTGAATCATTATAAGAACTAAGAGAAAATTTCTTGCTCATTTGTTCTCTCTGGCAGAGTTGGACATATTCATGGAACTACTGTCCTTGCATTAATTTAAATGGATCAAAGACCTAAACCTGAAGCACTGAAACTTCTCAAAGAAAATCGAGGCAGTACTCCACATAATATCGGTGAAAGAAAGTACTTCCTGAACAGGACTCGTTGCACAAGAATGAAGGACACAAATTGACAAGTGGATCTTCATAAAACTAAAATGCTCTGCACAGCTAAAGAAACAACTGGGTGAAAAGAATCTTCGCTAGCTACACAGCCGAGAGAGGATTAATACCCAGAATAGCCAAAGAACTCAAAAAACATCACTTATTTGAAAATTGGGTCAGGGGTTTGAACAGAGCATTCTCATAAAAGAAAAACAAAACAAACAAACAAACAAAAAAACAAGAAATATCTCAAAAATATTCATCACCCCTAGAGATTATGGAAATACACATCAAAAAATGTTGAGATTTCATCTTACTCCAGTCAAAGTGGAATGGAACAACTGAAAAAACATTTGGGATACAGGAAAAGGAGAATCCTCATTCACTATTGGTGTAGTGCCAACTGGTGCAGCTACTATGGAAATCAGTATGGAGAATTTGCAAGCTAAAAATAAATCTACTATATGACCCACTCCTTGGCGTATACTCAAAGGACAACCTACTCCACAGAAAACTGGCTCAGCCAATTTCATTTCTGCTCTTTTTACAAAAGCTAGGTAACAGAAACAGCCTAAACATCCTACAACTGACAATTGGATAATGAAAATGTGATACACACTATAGAATACTATTTAGCTGTAAGGGAAAATGAAATCCTGGAATTTACAGGTAAAAGTATATAACTAGAAAAGATCATACTAAGGTAACCCAGCCAAGTTCTTTCTTATTAAAGGTCCTCCATAGCTTCATATATGCATACATAGCCTGTATTAACTATAAAAATCAAGAAAATAAAATTGGATGATGGCCAGGAGAGAACGGTGGTGAGCCACCGAGCCATCTCTCCAGCCCAGTTAATGAATGCAGGGGCTAGGGAGACGGCTCAGCAGGTGAAGCATGGCGTTCAGAGCACCAGCACACATATAATGCCTGGTGGTCATGCCAGTCTGCTTGTAATCCCACTGCTCAGGATGTGAAGACAAAACCCTTGGCGCAACCTGGCTAGCTATACTAGCTGAATCTGAGCTCTGGATTCAGGTGAGAGACTCTGCCTTGCCTTATTAAGGTGCAGCAGAACAATTTTGAAAGAGATCCGAGTCAATTTCTGGCCTCTCCACATGCACAAAACTGTGTGTAGATGCACCTATACAGAAATGTAAGTAGGCACACACACAAAACTAATTAAATCAATCTTAGGACCTAAGATAGTTGGAGCCCCAGAGAGTATAAAAGGACCTAATTCAAAATCCTAAAGAGTCTACCCACGTCTTTACCTGCTACGATCTGACTGTATACGCTCACTACACTGCTCTAAATCAGCCTTAATCTTCAGTATGACAAGATGCTGGGCCCCATGAGTCTGGGACACAGGAGTCAGTGCTGAGTATTCTCAACATGTTAATCAAATAGGCACTGCTTTTCAAATCGGGTTTTCAACGACATGACAGATGTTCACTACGTTCCATAAACACAAGGAAGCTGGGGGAGTCGCATGAATCACCTGCACAGTGAGAGCATGTCTCTTCAGCACGTACTTCTGAGATGCCATGTGAATAAAGGTCAGGCCTATGCAGAGGTTGTAGAGAGGCTCGCTGGGAGAGGCACGGAAGGCTTGTACATACTGCCCTGGAAAGCAAGCAAGGCCAGATGATGTGGTAAGAGCAGCGTTCCTTCTCTCCTCATTGCTCAAGTCCGTTCTAAAGGCAAACATCATCGGTTTCAATATAGGAAGGCCCTAGTATCTTCAGTATCAACCACACATATCAGCTGAACTTCACAGCCATGCACAACACTGTTAAAAGTACCCTTCTAAGTGTATCTTGATGATAGAGAGTAACTCCGTGAACACAGAAGCATTACTCTATATAGAAATGTCTAAAATAATTTAGCAGTATGGCCATAATTTATTGTGTGACCTTAAATCTGTTTTCAAAGTGAAGGGAGAATATGTGCGCGCAGGGTGACGGTGTCCGTGTGTGCGTGCACCCTCAACAGGATAACCGCCGACCTTAAACCTACCGACCTCCAAAACCACCTAACAAATCAAAACAATTATTCCTACCATCATTACTAGTACTTAGAACCAGCTAAATGTAGCAGACTTTGTTTTAAATACTTCTTCATATTAACTCATTTCATGTTCAAAATAGTCTATATCTTATATCCTTATATCTCTGTTAAAGAGACAGAATAGAAAAAAAGACTATTTCACAATGGGAAGGAGACTGAAACCCAGACAGCTCTGCTCCAGAGCAGAAGGCAGGCCATGACCATGACACCAGGTGCCAGCACACTTACCAAGGGCATGCTTGAAACTGCCAGACACAAATGCATTGTGTCCATTTAAAACACACAGAGCATGATTATCTGGGTTTTTCAGCATCAGGCGGAGACAGAAGCGATGATGTCTTACGTCTTGGGAGTGCATGGTAACTTGATTGAAAATATTCCACAGCTGGGGCTTATTGACATTCTCCATCACCATCACCCTAAAATGGCAGGCAGGATGTGAGGGGATAAAGTACCCTTCCTGATCTGTGGGATGAGACTTGTCAGCTGTTCCCCAACAAGGAAAAGCAACCTTCCTATACGATGAACGGTCTTTCTTCCTAGAAAATGCTGCCAAGTCAGCATTTCTCTATCTTGTTTTTTATTTTGAAAAAAACAGCTTACACTAAAAACAAGATCAAATGGCTATTTTACCTGTCTTCCAGCTTATGACAACTACAGAACCATGAGCAATGAATGACTAATACAGTGTGCCAGGCAGAGGTAAACGGCTTTACGTAGGATAAACTCATTTAACCCTAATGATTAAAGTATGGTGTCCTTTTACAAATGGGATACTGTGGAAAGAGAGGTTAAGTAACTAACCTGATGTCCCAGAAGTGTCAGGGTGGAGACCTGAACCTGAGAAATCCAGCCCTAGAGCTCACTCCATGAAAGGGCACCTAAGAATCACAGTGCACTGAGCCACTAAGCCACAGGAGCTCTAAGCCCAAAACTTACTAAGTCTTGACGGTGAGAGCCTGAGTACCTAAGTCACAGGTGCTGACAAAGAACATAGTTAAAATATGACTTAGAAGGCTGGAGCGATGAGGCTCTGCAGTTAAGAGCACAATCGGCTCCAGTTCCGGGGACCTGATGCCCTCTTCTCATCTCCATGGGCTCCTGCACAGTGGTACACATACATGCACTCGGACGGACGGACACACACGTGAATATTTCTGAAATACGATTTATGATTGGAAAGTCACCTGATATAGTCATATGCCTTTCTGAAATTTTTGTCCAGAATTGCAGCAGACAGACCGAAGTATTCTAGCTCTTTGCGTTTTTGTCTGTCGTCATAAAATGAATAATATTCCAGGGAAGAATCTACAAGCAATTCAGCTTCTTGGAATCGGGATAAATCACTCAAGGTGTATATGGCCTTCAAGAGAAGGTTCCACCAGTCATCTTTTGCCAAGACGCTTGTGAGCACGGCAAATATTGCTAAAATGAGAAAATGAAAACCAGTCAGGACACGGTCTGCAGATAGCCTTTGTCCTCCGTTCTTGTTGCTAACAGCAGCTGCTTGTGGAGATGCCTTTAATCCTGCGTCCTTCCACTCTGACTTCAACAGCCTAGCATTTCAGTTAGCTCTCACTGACTTGGCACTATAGAATCAAATGGATCCCACTTCTCTGTCGGCCTTAGCCTAGACACATGCTTTAGGGTGGAGCAAGTGTCCTCTCCATGGATGATCACATCCTTCTGATGTTTGGAATGTGACTTCAATTCCACACTTTACAGATAATGGGGTTTCTTGGTCTTTTGCTAATCTCAATTTCCTTTTCTCTGCTTTAAATTTCACCTTTCCTTCAACATCCTTTTCATTTCTCCATAAGAAGCCTCCTTTTAAAAATTACATTAAAAATAGCAAGCTCTTCAAAAAATAAAAATTATTAAAAAAAAAAAACATGGCAGTACACACCTGCTGATCTCTGTACTCAGGATAATGAAGTGGGAGGTGCCAAGAGTTTAAGGCTAGTCTAGACTGCACAGCAAGTTCAAGATAAGTCGAAGCGATGTAGAGGAAGAAAGGAGGAGGGAGGAAGAAAGGAAGGAGGAAAGGTGGACAGGAAGAGGGAAGAGGAGGGAAGAACAGGGGAGGGGACAAAGGATGGGCTGGTGACTGCAGCTCAGTAGCAGAGTGCTTGCCTAATATGTACACTGAAATAAAAAAAAAATGGAGGGAGGGAGAGGGGAGGATAAGGAGAGAAGGAAAGGCAAAAAGATTTGTATTGTCTGAGCCACCAATTATTCTTCTGGTAATCTATCTTAAACAACCAAAACCTGGATAGAGCTATACTATGAACATGCTCAATCTACTATTCATACACCAAAATATAAAGAAAAGACTTATTAAGTTATATAATTGCTATCCAAGGGATTATTATACATTCTTTAAATATAGCCATAAAGAGAGCAACATAAAATTGTATGTGAAAGCATCAGAGTACAGAGTTGCAAGTGGAATAGGGAAGAACCTGCAGTGGAACACCTGCTTAGCGTGTGAAGGCCCTGGGGTTTGATCCCAGCCTTACAAAGTTGCAAGTAACATAAAGCTTAGCTCATGCATCTAATCTGATTCTACCTCCACTAAGGTGAAATCAATAACCTTACCTAACCTAACCAATAACCTAAGAAAAGCCAACAGACCTAAAATAAGGAAGGAAAAAGGCAGGCTTTATGTGGAGAAAAGTAATTTAGGGAAACATGGTCCAAGCTCCATGCCATAGAAGAGAAGTGCTGGAATAAACCCCGAATCCATGAAGAGAGAGCAGGGCTGCAGAGCACCCACAGCTAGATCACAGGCAGCTGAGTGCTCCTGAGTAGTCCTCCTCGGGTTCCAGTGCCTATCATAACAGTTCTATAAATGCTGTTGGATTACATTTTGCCAGACTCACATCTCCAGTCTCATTTCCAAGGTTCTTTCTCTGAGTAACAACCCCACTCAAACATTCCCAATGCTTTTTTAGCCCAAGTTAGATGCCTTTGAAAGTCCTCTGATTTAGACTGGGTCATAGCAACTTTATTTTCAGAGTTTGTATGACTGCTATATTTGTCAAAAATATATTTTTTAACAGAACAAAAATCTATGTAATTGAAGTAACTAGGCATATAATCTGTACTGCCATCTACTCTTCACAAATGAATGTTCTTCTTAAAAGGTCAAAATTGTTTTACTTTATGTGTTTCAGAGAACAATCCAATGGGTATTTTCCTTTTTAAAAGTATTTACAGTTACGCCTTTTAACATTAAATGATTTGGTTATACCCGACAGATTTAGATTATAATTTTCATTTTAATTTTGATTATCTTCAGGTATTCAATCCTTTTTCAATTCAGCCAAGTTTTACACAAGGCAAATGAAGCAATTACCTTTTGCATCATAATTTGATGTTTCTTGCTCATTGTTGTCTGAAATTTTATCTCTTGACACTTTAATGAGGTAGAGATGCCTTTCTCCAGATTTGGAACTGGATATCAAACACACTTGAGCTCTATTCATCGCAACCTGAATTAAAAAATAAGAAGCTTCTTAGTCAACAATTTATACAGTAAAACTGATGACCCATGAGTACCACAAACCATATTCTAAATGCCTAAAAGTAGAATGAATTGATCGATTTTGTTCTTCTCAAAGAAGTTTTAGTCATTAGACACTTTATGAGGGGAGTGCCATAAGTTCATAGGGACTACGATGTGCAGAGCAAGAGAGGGAGAGTGAACGCATGCTACTTCCCTGCAAAACAGATCAAGATGTCAGACCTGCTCAAAATTTTTGTGAAATCAACCATTTTTAATTCATACTACTGTCTATAGGCCTAATAACTGGTGATATTCTAATATTTCAAAACAAGAAGACTTAAGATTTTATTTTACTTTTTCTATAATCAGGCTGATGTCCCCATGAGGACTGTCCAATCCTGTGGCTGGGATACAGTCCAACAGTAAAGTACTTGTCTAGCATGTGCATGGCTCTGGAGTCCATCTCCAGTGTAATAAAAGAGTTTCCAGTCATATATCACTAATTTCTAAGTTTTCTGTATTTATCTGCCTTTCACTTTAAAATGTTTGAATTTAATACAAAGGAGCAATTACAAAGCAATATTCTGTTTAAGCCAAAACTGAAACATTGTAAAACTAAGCAAAGCTCAGATGCGGTCAATACCCACCTTTAAAAGCATGGCCAGCATGGTTAGTAAGGTGTCCAGATAGCCATACATCTTGCCTTGTGAAGATAACAGGGTAGAACGATGGAGCAGTAACTTCAGTTCCTAAACAAGGTCACGACAACGAGTGATAAGGTTTTAGAAACCAGACTCTACATCTGCATTTAAGAAGTTAGCATTTTTATAGTAATTAAAATTAACAGCTTACAAACTAAAATTTGTATCTAATAAAAAGTGAGTAAAGCTTAAGACTAACCCACTTTTCAAAACCACTCAATTTGGAGGCCTGCCATGCAAGCATCAAGTCCTGAATTCAGGATCCCAGAACCCAGATAAAAACCAAGGCAAGTGTGCTGTCCCAGTAGTGGGTCACAGAGACAGGAGGGTTCCTGAAGCTCACTGCCCAGCCTTACCGATGAGCTTCAAGTTCAGTGAGAGACTGTCTCAATAAATAAATGTATATGGCAAGAAATCTAGGAAGGATACCCAGTGTCTGCCTCTGACCTCCAAACATGCACACACTCACACTAACTAGTACATACAACAAACATGTCAAGACAAAAAATTCCATTAAATGTAACACACTAAACAGAAACTTTGCTATAGCTGTATAAATGAGGCAAATGCTCTGAGGCTCTATGAGCTGAGGAAAAGTTCTAAAATGCACTGTCCCCAGAGCAACGCCCACGTGATGTGATCTACCTGCTGCGCAGCATTCGCATCCTGGGCTAAGGTGTCGGGGTCATACATTGGCTCCAGGGCCTCCAGAGCTTTCTCAGGGCGGCCTAGCTGCTGCTGAAGGGTGGAAAGCGAAATTCTTGCATCCAGGTGGAGCGGGGCCAGATCGACCACTTTACTGTAGCTTTCAGCAGCGCGCTCCATGTAGCCCAGGGCCTTCAAACACTCTAAAAAGTTACAAGACGGTTACCGGTCAACTGGTCAAAACTATTCCTTTTCAAAGGTAATCAGTAATTCATTTGACTTTGGAGACTGAGTCTCACTAATCTGCAACCCTTGTGCACGTGCCTCCCTAGACTAGGGTTACAAATTCATACTGCTTCACCTAGCAGTATTTTTCTGTTTAAAGAAGTAAAGAGCAATGTAAGAAAAGTATAACAATAAAGGAATGAACATATATTGTTAGAACTTTAAAGCAAGCAATCCACTCTTGATTATTGATCAGTCTCCAATCTCTTCCCCTAGTCGTGCTGGAGACCACACACAGAGCCTCATGAGGCGAGTTGGACTCCCAGCCCACCCCATCAGAATTAGCCTGCTACAAAGCTATGAGTGTCCACATTCACTCTGGTGTGTCTTTATTCAGTTAGTAGTATGCCTTAAGCATTTCTGAACATTTTTAATCAAAATAATTACTTACTGTACTAACAGGTCTTGTTTCCAAATGTGCACTCTGGTCATACCAGAGGAAACAGCTTAATGTATCCAGTTTATGACTGGGAGACCCAACTTAATCCACAGACATGTTTATTATGGCACAGTGGTTATTGAAAATATTAAGTGTCTGTATATTTTAAAAGCACTGTGTTATAAAAGCTAGGGTACTGGCTTCTTCTAATGGCCACAGCAAGCTAGCTTCCTCCTCTCAAGTGGAGTCATGAGCCTCTGCAGATGCGACCTCTCAGTGCTCCCACAGAGCCATTTCACTCACATTGTTATGGCTCTCCAGTTTTGTAACTCATCAATACCAACTATATCCCCCCACCCCCCAATTATCCCACTACATTCCTTAAAATGAGTCCAGAAGTACAATTCCTCAGTTCCTCATCAACCACTGAGTTTTATAATTTGAAGTCAGAAACACGTCTTGGTTTCTTCACTCTACTCTCGCAGTCCCAATACCAAGCTAGGTCTTTCCACGTGTCCTTTTTCACTACAATGACCTCCTAAGTATTTTGCCTCAAATTGTTTCCACAAATGTCTCCTGACCACTACATTAGGCTAAATCTTGAAAACAAATTAGAATGCTAATAGGAATGGATTATCGTAATGGCATTTCTTATTTATTTTCACATTTAGTTACTTCTTGTTTTGCTACAGCTATTAAATTCCTCTAATAGTCTGTCTTGATTTTTTTGATGACTCTGAAGTTTTCATTTCCACTATAATTCAGTTGACTAATACAATTCAATAATTTCAAGCCATATGGATTCAAAATAGCAACAAGTAATGAGCTGAATCTGAATCATAATGAAAAAGAATTTGTAAGTGCCCACTAATCATCACAGAGAAGCAGCTCCATCTGCCTGCAATGCAAACTCCACCTCTGCTCCTCTTTACAAATTCCACAAGGGTAACTTTTCGTGACGATATTATATTTATATTCATGTTTAGTTTTCTAAACAAAAAGATGCTCTTTTAATTTTAATGGAATGTTCCCCTAGATCTTACCTGTGCTGGGAGCTACTGCCCAAACATGTCCATCAGTTCTCCTCTAGCTAGAGAGGACTTCCTTCTTTCAAATAATTTTTACAACTTTCTGGAATACTAGTATTTTAACCAAAGGCAATTCTGTTAATGCCTTTTTGTTTTTCTTTGGATTTCTTGTTTTGTCTGTTTGAAACAGGGTCTCACAATGTAGCCCTGGCTGGCCCTGAACTCACAGAGATCTGCTTTACCTTTGCTCCCTGTTGTGCACCAACAGGTCCAGGCTTAATGCATATCTTTTACTTATGACGTCCTACTAGACTATCTTTTGTTTTTATGTATCTAAGATGTTTGTTGCTTTCTTAAGCTACCTCCTGTCCTCCAAAGGACTTATTTTCAGACTACTATGGACTTAATAAAATTACAATAAAAGATTAATTTTGAGCATGTATGGCTCAAACAGCACTGAAAAGCAAAATAACATTAAATATACATTCATAAAAATTCTTTAAAAAATAATTTTGCTGATTATTGCTCTTAGAGCCTGTGCTGTTGGTGTTCTGTTCAGGAAGTTGCCTCCTGTGCCAATGAGTTCAAGGCTCTTCCCCATTTTTTCTTCTAACCGATTTAATGTGTCTGGTGTTATGTTGAGGTCATTGATCCTCTTGGACTTTAGTTTTATGCAGGGTGATAAGTATGGATCTAGTTGCATTTTTCTACATGTAGACATCCAGTTAGACCAGCACCATTTGTTGAAGATGCTATCTTTTTTTCCATTGTATGGTTTTGGCATCTTTGTCAAAAATCAGGTGTCCATTAAGTGTGTGGGTTTATTTCTGGGTCTTCTGTTCGGTTCCACTGATCCACCATTCTGTTTCTATGCCAGTACCATGCAGTTTTTATTACTGTTGCTCTATAGTACAGCTTGAGATCAGGGATGGAGATACCTCCAGAAGATATTTTATTGTAGAGGATTGTTTTAGCAATTCTGGGTTTGTTATTCCATATGAAGTTGAGAATTTTTCTTTCCAGGTCTGTAAAGAATTGTGTTGGTAATTTGATGGGAATTGCATTGAATCTGTAGATTGCTTTTGGTAAAATGGCCATTTTTACTACGTTAATCCTGCCAAGCCATGAGCATGGGAGATCTTTCCATCTTCTGATATCTTCTTTTAATTCTTTCTTCAGAGACTTAAAATATTTTTCATACAAGTCTTTGACTTGCTTGGAAAAGATTATCCTGAGTGAGGTATCCCAGAAGCAGAAAGACACACAGGGTATATACTCACTCACAAGTGGATATTAGACATATAATATAGGATAAACATACTAAAATATGTACACCTAAGCAAGCTAATTAGGAAGGAGGGCTCTGGCTAAGATGCTCAATCCCCATTCAGAAAGGCAAAGAAGATGGACATCGGAGGAGGGAGAAAACAGGGAACAGGACAGGAGCCTACCACAGAAGGCCTCTGAAAGGCTCTATCCTGCAGGGTATTGAGGCAGATGTTGAGACTCATAGCCAAGCTTTGGGCAGAGTACAGGGAATCTAATGAAAGAAGTGGGAGATAGTAAGACCTGGAGAGGACAGGAGCTCCACAAGGACAGTGACAGATCCTAAAGGTCTGGGCACAGGGGTCTTTTCTGAAACTGACACTCCAGCCAAGGACCACATCCAGGAGATGGCCTGGAACCCCTGCACAGAGGTAGCCTATGGCAGTTCAGTATCCAAGTGGCCTCCATAGTAATGGGGACAGGGACTGCCTCTGACATGAACTGATTGGCCTGCTCTTTGATCACCTCCCTCCAAGGGGGGAGCAGCCTTACCAGGCCACAGAAGAAGACAATGCAGACACTCCTGATGAGACCTGATAGACTAGGATCAGAGGGAAGGGGAGAAGAACCTCCCTTTTCAGTGTACTGAGAGAAGGACATGGGTGGGGAAGAGGGAGGGTAGGATTGGAAGGGGAGAAGAGAAGGAGGTACAAGGGGGATACAAAGTGAATAAACTGTAATTAATAAAAAAAAAAAAAAAAGAAAAAACCTAACAACATAGCAAACTGTGTAAGAGGTAAGTTTTCACATGAAAATATTTTAAATTCTGCTCAGTCTAGTTTTACATATTATATTCTGCATTATATCCAGCAAGTAGTATTGTTTCAATTATAATATTTTGAAAATAAGATAAAGCTAACTCAGTACCTTCAAAAAAAAAATAATAATTTTGCCCTATCTGATAATACAGTTCTCTAATATACTGTGGTATGACCTATGAAATTTGTGTATTTAATGGGCATGTCAATTTTTCTACATTATCACCCTAGTTGTCTGCAGCAACATCACTAGGTACATGTACTGTCCTCTACAATACTGTGGCTTTGATCTAAAGCATCTTAATGTCACTTCTGTCAGGAGCAGATCCTAACATTCCTTAAGTGCAAGGGCTCAAGGACATTGACATGTAAGGGCAAGCACTTAGTCTAGCAAGACACCTTACATACTAATCTTACAACTACGCTGAAACCAGAAATATTTGTACCAATATTCTAGTTATGAAGGCCACTGTGCTGAGAACATAAACTCTTGCCTGGTGGTATAACTAAAACTGTTTCTCTTCCACAACAAAATATTACCTGCATGCCGAAGCCAAACCACTGCAAGGTTGTACCTCTCAGAGCAAACCAGTGCACTGAGCAGGGGTAGGGCAGAATTGTATTCGCCAACATCCAGAAAAGCTTCAGCAACATCAAGATAGAGGTCACCCATATCTTCAGGATTCTGTTCCACCAGTGTTGTCAAGAGTGGCTAAACTCCAAAAAAACCAGAGGTCAAACATTCATTACAAACCACAACATCTGTTTATCAGCTACATGACATAAGCCAAGAAGCAGCAAGGATTAGCAACGGCAACTTAAATTAAATGATCATGTTTCTGTATTTCTATTAAAAATATTCAGACTTCCATCATTTCTGGACTCGTGCATTCATTCATCACTCTGTGGGCCTATCTAAAAGGCCAACAAGACTGTGCCTTTGGCTCCACGTGTTTGCTCATGTTTTCAAAAGCTATTCCGTCAGTTTTTACCCAAACAACACCTCCTCAGGTGACTCCTATACTAAAAACTCAGAACTTTCTCCCATCTTTACATTCTGTATAATCCTTTATTTCTTCAGAACACTTCACCAACAAATAACTTACATATGTTATGAATGTATATAATCTCTTAGAAGAAAAGATCTGAGAGAGTAATTTGTTTTACTTAATTCCTTATCCTAAAGTCAACAAAGCAGATGCCATCTATTTTATTCAATGAAATACTTGTTCCAAGTTCAGAAAAGTGAGTAGCTATAGGAATTATAGACTGCCTACAGATGAATTATAACTTCTGATCTTAGGACTGTTCTCATTTTAAAGAAAATTATTCCAAGCCCAATTCCAAAACACTGTTTTTATGAGCCATTCTGATGAAAATAATTTGAAGCTTATGTGTCCTCCCGTTATTAAGAAATGTGAAAATCTACGATCAGCTTATAGTTTTTAGTCAGCTGAGGGAGAGTGTGGACTTACGGGGAAGGGCTTAGCACTCTGCGCAGGGCTCCCAGGGCTACTTACATTGAGTGGCTCAAGGATGTTGAGATGCACCAGGCAGACCATCAGCTTCACCGTGATGTCTATTGGCACACTGTCAGGTATAGAGCAGGTCACGGTCTCAGCAGCTGGGGAACCAGCAGACAAGGTATTCCTAGGTGTGAGCTCAGGATGTAAGGCAAACCAAGGCAACTCCAGCCTGCACACAAGATCCTATTCCCAACAGTCAGGGCTCTGCTCAACCCTATCAGCAGCTTCTTACATCTGTCTCCTGTTTGTACTTATCCTGCTCTTTTCCTAAGATCAACTTATATACAAAGTCCATATCTTTTAGCAGATTACACAGGATTTTAAAGTTAAAACTGACTAGAATATACAAAACCTTTTTAAATTCCAAAGCTTCATTTCAGAATTTACTATAAAGAAGCTTATAAATGGGGTTAAATACTTTTCTGCTTTCTAAAACCTCATTATAGCAAAATGACTTTTAAATTTCTCAGAAACTAAAGGAATTCTAATCTACAACTAATTCATATTTTGCACATTAAATTACAAATCAGTTTGTTTCCATTTCATAAAACTGTATAGGATATTAGTGATGTGCCTTTAGTAGTAGAATCTAACTTAAACTACTTAAAAATTAAGTGATATCATTTGTTTTACAGAATTTGCCATTGATAGTCTAAGATGATAAAGTCAAAAGAGCTCTGCCCCGATAAAGAGGATTCGTGTCCTTTCAAAGAGGCCTAAGGGAGTTCTGTGTCCTCTCAGCAAAATGGTACCACATCAAATCCCTGCTGCCTTGATCTTAAGACTTCCAAGTCTCTAAAACCTTATTTATAGACCACCAAGTCTAATATATTTTGATATAGCAGCCCAAATAACTATTTAATGAAATATACTTACTAAGGATATACTTAGTATAGATGCATAAATTAACAACCTTGGTTTCTAGATCAAACTGAGAAGTAAAAGTCAACTTTCTGTTGATTACAAGATGCTAATCTTAAATCCAGAGATTCCAGACTTGTAAACCATGGTTCTACCCAACCACAATCTCAATACTAGATAAGGCAGAATTTGGATCAAGTGTATCTAAAAGGTAAGCAAAGCACTTAGGAAGCCACAGGGAACTCCAACTCTACATGTCGTTTAAAACACAAACTGTCCCAGCTCAGCCTGAGCAAAGCGTTTAATCAGGCTGACAACTTGTCAGTGGTAAGGAAGGTGTTATGTTCATGTGCCTGAGAGAGAGAGCATACAGTCAGTCCCTAAGACATATGGCAATACATTACTATGTAATACTCAATCTAACATAAAGATACTCAATCTAGTATCTTTCAAAAAAGGCTTATCTTGCCAGATATGGAGCATATCCATTTAATCCCAGCACTTCAGAGGTAGAGGCAGAAACAGGAGGATTTCTAATTCTAGGCTAGTCTGGGCTACTTAAGAGCTTATCTTTGAAAAACAAAGTAAAACAAAACTTGGTATGGTATCACATGCCTGTAATCTCAGCACTTGGGAGGTAGGGGCAAGAAGGGTTAGGAATTCAAGATCATACTCAAATGCCTTGAATGTTTAAGGCCAGTCTGGGCTACAAGAGACTATATTTAAAAGAAAAACCACAAACACTCAACTGAAGGCTGAGGATGTAACTCAGCCTTGGCGGTGCTCACTTAGCATGCATAGAGCGCTGGGTGTGCTTCCCAGCACCAAATAAAACCCTGTAATGCCAGCACTCAGAGGTGAAACACGGGAATCAGAACTTCAAGGTCATCCCTGGTACATACTAAACTCTAGGCCTTACTCTCCTATACTCCCTTTGTAATGGTCTTTCACATTCATAAAAAGTGAGAAATATTAACATCAACAACACTTAGCACTTAATCTACCAACAAATGTTCTCTTTTAAACCGCATGTGAAAGATTCAGGTGTGCTGGCACACACCTGTGATCCCAGCACTCGGGAGGCAGAGGCAAATGGATCTCTGTGAGTTAGAGGCCAGCCTGGTCCAAGGGTGAGTTCCAGCATAGCAAGGCTACACAGAGAAACCCTGTCTTAAAAAGCCAAAACAAACAAATACATAAGATGCATGCGAAAATAATCTTTGCTCAGTCGGGGTGTTTTAATCTAGTCTAGTACGTATCTCCTTTGGAGTTACTTGCTCAATCCTAAGGATTCTTCATTATTGTGTGCTAGAGGAAGACTTCAAGTGTCTTCTCAAGAGCCATGCACCTTTTTCTCTGAGATAGGGTCTCTCACTGGCTGGCTTGCCAATTCAGACAGGTTGGCTGTCAGGCCCCAAGACCCATGTGCTCCTGCCTCCTAAGTGCTGGAATTACAAGTACATGCTGCCACAACTCCCAGCTATTAACATAAAATTCTAAGGAAAACTCACATCCCCATATTTGTACAGCAAGCACTCTGCTCTACGGAGTAAAGTGGAGAAGCCATTTCTCCAAGCCCCACAATGAAATATTATTTTATACACATATCTTTTCTATTTAAGATAGTTATGTTCCAATAAACCCAACCTAAATTGAAAATATCATGAATTAAAGAGACATTTAATGTACTTAACCTACAGATTTGGTAATACGGTCCACTGGAGAGTATCTCTTGCTCCCCCTCATGACTAGGAGCTGAGCACTGTAGCCAGTTGCTGGTTCTCAATATGTGAGGTTAGTACTGATCTACGAAAACATCAAAATTGAACATATGCCTTCTACTGGATGTGTACTGTTTTTGCACTATTAAGAAACTGGAAAATCATTACTTGGAGGACCATCTGCACTATTAAAAATGTCACTACTTAAACATGTCCCAGATTACTTTTTTTGATGTTCTATGATTCTAGATACGCTAAATCAGTGAAAATGTGAGAAAAAACAGAATAAATGAAACAGTAAAATATATTAAATGATAAAATGACTGCTTACATTGACAATTAAAATTTGAACAGAGCCCTCTATTTAGTATTTTCAAGACACAGGACTTCAATACTTTTGAAACAACTGTAATGTTTTCAGGCAAGGTTTTACTGTAGCTGGCCTGAATTTACAGTTTTTCTGCCTCAGCCTTCAGAGCGCTGTGGTTACAGGTAAGCACTAATGAACCTAACCAAAAATTTCTAGGAAAAAAAAAAAAGTCTAAACCAAATATAATGGCTAAACAGGCATGGTGACACATCCTGGTACTTGGAAGCCAGAAGCAGAATTTTCAGTTTGAGACTAGTAAGTGCTAATAGCAAGAACTTGTCTCAAAAAAGGAAAGGAAGGAAAGAGGGAAAGGAGGAAGGCAAGAAATGAAGTATGGCTGTAAAATAACTTACTTAGGTCTCAGTTCTAACCGAGGCCATGTGACGGTAACGAACCTCGCAAAGAAGCCTTTAGCTGCCCAAACCCCATGCTTCCCAGCACCGTCACTTCTCACCGCCTCACTCACCTCACTCCACAGCCGCAGGGCCCACACCTGACCAACGCCCTCCTCTACTAACCAGAGCAGCAGCTACCACAGAAACTGCCTCATCACTGCTTCGAAGGGGTAAAGAGGAAAGTTTATACATACCATTTAAACTTATCGACCCTATCCTACTTTCTCAAGGACAGAAAAGTCAGTCACATACATATTCCCATTCAACCAGCAGGTCTTCTAAAGGAACTCCTACTGAACTAGGCTACCATTTCCAACAGCCTTTCACTCCAATATTTACCTGACCCTTATCCTGCAGTCCCGGGTCTTGCTTTCATGAATTAGCACAAATTGATTTAGGTAAGTGAATTACTCCTTCACAGTGAGATGGATCTATTTTAACAGTTTCTGTTTTGGAGAACTCAAAGGATTGCAACATGATGAAATTATTAAGCACCATAGCAGGTCAGGAAGGAGGCTTTCTGAAGCAGACATACTCAGCCATCAAATCACTTCCTGTAACTCCCATCAAAATCCTCTGAAAATAAGGATGAGAAATACTACACAGGAACTCTCACAGGACTAAGGACACATACGATGACCACAAAAATGACAAATTTTGTTACAACTCAGAGGAAGTCATACATGTTAACATTTTCATAGAATAGGTTAATGAGCATGGTGCAAAGATCAGGCAAGAGCTGGAAAAGGCCCGGCCGAGGCATATTTCGGGTACAACTTTCTACTCAGATCTGTGATTATCACTCTGAGCTTTCAATTAGGGTAGGATAATCACAACAGCTCCTACTTTTATGTAACTACTAAGTTTTAGGTAGAATTTTTAATAGCAGATCATATAAAGCCCTTTTAGGAAGGCCTAAGGTTCTGACCTACTCACTCTCTTTCTTCTAAGAATAAATAAGAAGCTGAGCATGGTGTTGTACACCTGTAATCCCAGCATTTAAAGGCTGAGGCAGAAGAATTGCCATGAGTTTGAGGCCAGCGTGGGTTACGAGTTAAGTTCAGGTTATGCTACAGAGTGAGATCCTGTCTCAAACAGAGACAAACGAAACAGAATAAAACAAACAAAAGTAAGTGAAAAGGAACATGGACCAAAGAGAAATGGTGTGGTCAAATGGGCATATAATAAATTAAAAAACAATTTTTTTAAGATTGCTTATAAACCAAGGGCTAGCAATATATTTCAATGTATAATGCTTGTCCTTCATGCACAATGTTCTGGATTTGAACCCTAGCATCACAAAAAAGAAAAGAAGAAAGATTACTTATAAGCTGATATAAGAAGCCAGACATGGTGGTGCACACCTATAATCCCAACAATCAGGAAGGAGAAGGTAAGAAGATCACTGTGAGTTTGAGGCCAGCCTGGTTTACAAAGCGAGTCCAGGACAGTTAAGGCTACACAGAGAAACCCTGTCTCAGTTAAAAAAAAAAAAAAAAACCACACAAAAAACACTGATATAAGAAGACTAGACTCCTGCTGCAGACATGCTCTAAGAACCTTACCAACTCAAGACCCCACACCTAACAAGAGAAGGTTATGTGTGTGTCCTACAGGAAGTATGCTACAACCTTTATTCTCTTCTGAGGTGCCTTCTTCCAAAGTTTCCTTTTCCAGGATAATTCCAGAAAAATCTGTAATTACCTAAAAAAAAAAAATGAAAAAAAAAAAAAACAACAAATAAAAGTTACATATAAAAAACTTTTTGTGAATACTTATTTCAAATAGTCCTTACAACATAAAACGATATTAAAAAAAAGAATACTCCTTTTGAAATAAAGAATTCTAACTGTGGAACTTTAAATCCTGTTGACTAAAAGCAAAGATTTATGGGTCTGACCACAAACCAGCTTCCTTTCTCCAACAGAAACAGCTTGAGTGAGTCCTGCTGCCATTGGGTGTGGACACACTTGGGCTCTACAGTGGTAGTACCATTTATATTTACATTTCACACAGAATCCAGAAACCTATTATCTTCACAGTTTAAATGCACACTTTAGTATAGAATTAAAATGGCAACCTGCTAATTTCTAGGCATCCTTGGAAGACAAGCACAGGTTTTAAACGTAAAGGAACGACACACAAGCATTCCTACCTCCAAAGCTTTGTCATACTGCTTGTTGGAAATATATAATTCAGCTGCTATGTTAACATCCTCCATGGATACTAAGCCTTGGTGTTTTGAGAAGGCTTCTTCAATTATGTTGATAGCTGAAGTACTATCATTGGCTTCATAGTAACTCCTAAAAAAGTGAGTGGCAAGTGAATGCTTAGTTAATTCTGATTATAAAGTGTCTTAGGCTGTCTAACAATAAGTGATTTCATGTTCTCAGATGTTAGGAGGAAGCACTTTAACATTACAGTAGCACCTTCACTCTCAGAGTATTACTACGAGGTAGAATAAGTGCCTACAGGCTGGAGCTGTGCATTAGTGGTAGAAGCCTAGCCCAGCATGTGGGAGACCCTGGGTTCAAAGCCCAATATCACAAACAACTCAAAGGTGGCAAAAACAAAGCCAAAGGGCAAAGAGGTTCACCACAACAGTATTTGCTATGTCAGCATAAGCTTCCAGTTTGAGACCCAGAACCCAAGTATAAATCTAGGCATGATGCTAGGTGCTGAGAGACAGATGCAAGCAAATCCCTGGGGCTCACTGGCAGCCAGCCTATGTAACCCAGGGCTTACATGACCTCCACATGTACAGGTGCGCACACCCAGGGCTGATCCCCACATGCACAGGCACACATTTGCATGCACATCTGAAAACAAGAGCACACACCTGAGTCACAGTCAGTCCATTTTTTAAGAACAACTGCTGTGAGGTAAAACACATACTATATGACATGTAAGAAGTACCAGAGCTTTGAGAGCAGAGGTCAATGGCACTCTGTTTGCTAAGATGCAGAAAACCCTGAGTTCATCCCTCAGCACCATGGGTAGGGTGGAAGGGGTCATAAGGGTCCAAGGCACTTAAGGCAGATGGTCCTATATTGGAAGTGAACCTTCTGTTCTGTAGAAAACTAAGAGTAGTTAATGGGGATTTCAAAGCAAACCTTCCTGTCTCTCCATGGCATAGGTCATACCCATGGTCAAAAGCAACAGCGCATGGGAAGCTCCTGCTGATGTCAGGACTATCAGTGTTAATTTGTCATTGTTTTGTGTTGGTTTTACTAAAAATGTACAACAGTGCTCACTCACAGCATCAACAGGTCCACCCAAAGCAGAAGATAATGGAAATCATGCGCTGAGAAGTGCAGGACAAATGACATGAGAGAAATGATCAGTAGGCCAGTTCCATTACAAAGATATTATCTTCTTCATGATGTCTTTGTTAGAAAAGTAAAAACACTAAAAAGCCCAGATTTGAAATGGAAAAACTCACATTAACTTCCAAGGGAATTTAATTGTGCACAACGTATACTCTTGTTAAATAAGCTGCCTGGACCTAAAACCTTGGACTTTGTTGTTGGTTTTGTTTAGTTTAATCCTGAGATCAAGCCCAGGGTCTTGTACATGCTAGGCAAGCATACTAGCGTTGAGCTATATCCCCTACCAAGAATCTGCTTAAATTTTAGATATATTTTTAATAATGAAAAAGTCCTACTTATGAAATATAAAATCACAATCAGAGATGATACAGAGAAAATTACACAGTTTCATAATGTATTAACAATATCATAATTTCAAGTATCACACTTTCAAAAGCTCCTTCCAAATGATCCCCAACATAAAAACAGCCAACAGCTCGTTGGGATCCATTTCTCCCCCCAGGATGACAATCAAACTTAGATAACTTCAATTTCCCCAGTATCCAGGTAAGAACAATAGAATGGCTGATCCAGCCTGAGCTCTTCCTTCATTTTTGCTTTTGATTACTAAAAGTACTCCATTGTAAATGACATGTAATCAATGATACTCTAGCTTTGTGTAATTTTACTTTTGCTTGGGAAGTTTTACAAATTTAAAGTAACAGATTCACCTTTTTATTCTTTTAATTAAGTTCAACTATTTTTTAAAAAAAGTGTATTGCTCTGAATTCCAAAACATATAACACATTATATTTATAACCTTTCAAACATGTCAGTGATAGGCTGATACAAGGTGCTATCAAGAGAAAGAGGAAGGGTTGATCTCAGGGGAGGAAAAGGTTTCTACAGTAGATACGGCAGCAGTACCCACTGCCACTTTACCTACATTATAAGCTGCTGTTTCGGCACAGGCCCTCCCTGGGCCACACCTTTGCCACCTGTATTCAACTGTGCATGTGCATGCAGGAAGGCAAGTGTCCTTATGGACATTTTTAGGGAGAGTCCCTATTTACCACCTTAGCCTTATGCATAACTGGGTGTGCATATGATTAAAATCCCGTGCATTATGGGAAGGAACATGAACAGCAAGAAGTGTATACACGACCTAAACAACCAGTCAAAATAGAGAGCTGCCAAACTCCTCCTTCTCTTGAATCCCAAAGGGAATAACTGGGGCACCTGAATACTTTCTCACTCATGGCCTGAAGTTTCTTTCTGATCTGTATTATTATTATTTATTGTTATTATTACTATTATTACAATCTCGCTTTTGAATAAAGTTTCCTTGCTACTGTGTAGACTCTTATTTTCAATTCTTTGCATTAGGGACTAAGAAGCTATAAGCACCCGACCTAGGCCCCACCAGAGCTAACCTTACCATTCTGCCAAAAAAGCCCTCCAGGCCACTAACCCTCAGGGCCGACTCTTGGTTTTGGGACCTGCCGGCAGTGCTCCACATGTACTCCAGCAGCCTCAGTCAAGTGCCCTCCTCCATCAGTCGGAACACCACGCTCTTCATGTCTTTCCTGCACTGGACCTTTCCTTTTCTCTCTGGCTGTCTGCTCTCCTCTCCTGCCCTCTAAATGCTGGAGTAGCTTGCGGGTCAGTCCTTGCTTAGAGCTCTCTCTCACCGCCTTCTCTTCCCTCCCTCCTGCATACATGACAGGCATACAGGAGCCTGCACACACATGTGCACATACATGACCACATGCACACCTCTCATCAATGCATCCATCTTTACACACTTTTAAGTTACACTGAGAATTTGATTACTCCTTACTACCCCCTGCTATTTCTTCCCTGATCAAGCTATGATCTTCCCTCCCAACTATCATTTCAGTAATTTTCTAACTAGTCTTCCTGTTTCTGACCTTACCACTATTCAATTTTTGCTCAAAAGAGCAACCAAAATTGATGTGCTTAAAATTTAAGTCACATTATATAACTTTTCTACTCAAACCCTTCCGTGGCTTGGCTTCCAAACTCGTTTAGAGTAAAAGCCAAAGTCCTTACCCTACCCCCAAGCTGCTGCTGTGCTCTGGAAGCTCGCTGCCATGTTCACCTTAATGCATCAGCTTCCAGCTTGTTCCCTGAACATACCTGTACCTCTGCCCTAAGGCCTGTGAGGCCTTCAGTAACCCTGGTTTTAAAATAACACACTCTGTACCTTGTTTCTATCATGTTTCCCTGTTTAATTTGTCTTCATCACTTATCAATATGATATGTTAAATATCTGGCTGTTACTTGCTTTCTATCTATCTCCCCTCATAAGCTCCATGAGGGCAGAGAACTTCTAATAATTGTTTACTGGTCATCCTGGTTCCTTATACAATGTTTGCAGAAGATATACTCAATAAATATTTCTGGAAGGCAAATGATCAAAGCGAAGCCTAATCAATCAACTGGCCATTGCCTCTCTTCACATATAATAAAAGTGAAAAACAAATTGATCTTCACAAGCACTTAATAATTCTTCAGGTCTATTAGACTAATCACAGTAGTAGCTGCAAATTATCTCAGAGAAACTAGGAAGGTCATCAGTGCTCAAAGCATACCTTCTGCCATCAACTTAGAGTTGCTTCCCTCACTGAACTTGTAAAAATGTATCTACTGCTCCTAAGTTCATAGCTAAAAAGCATCAGAATGCAGGTCAAAGAATTCACGGGTTAATCCCAATATGCCAAATCAACAATTAACCCAGGATGAAATGCTGCATTATGCTCTTCAAACAGAAAGAACAGCAGAAAACATCACTTAGCCAGACACTTCCTGCTTTGTTCTGCTGTACAACAGAGAAGTAAAGGCTATTCCAAAGAAAACCTGTGACAGTAGCATATCACTTAACATACTATTTTAGTAATGACTCAAGATAATAGACTATTCCAGGTTACAACGACTTCACTGACATACCTTTAACAAAAAATCATTTAAAAATATTACAAATATATACAACATCAACTAAGTTACAAAAACCTGGCACTCTAATCTCCTTGAGAAACATAACTCATTTTTAAGCTTTTGAGCACTGGAAGTGCATCTTATGTAGAAAACTTTCTGAACAATCATACCGTTTACTTGGAAACCAAAAAGCACTAAATAAAAAAATAAAAAAGCAAAACACAGAAGACTTTGTTTTAGACCTCAATGCAAAGTACATTCTATTTCAAATAGCTTTGATTTGCAAAATGACAAGTAAAGGCATGTATGTACATATACTTCACTTCAAACTTACTTTGCCATATCTCTAGCCAGCTGCATAAAACGTTCTCCATCAGATGGAGACAAAAGATTTAAAATACGCCTATAGCCATCCATGGCCATTTTGTGATCACCCATCTGTTCATAAAGGCTTGATCTCTCCCACAGGTAACGGACATTAGTAGGTTCACATTTAAGAGCTAGAAAGAAAAAAAGAGAGAAAAAATTTACATATTTATCAAAAGAGGTGTGACTTACCTCAAAAATGCAATAAACACTTTTCCTAGTGGAAACAAAAAAATTATTCTGGAATAAATCTATCTTCGTAAGAATTCTTGACTGGGCTTGATCTAAGACCTGACTTGACTTTCTGCACTAATCCTAATTTGGTCGCTCAAGTCACAAAAGTTAACAGCCTGAAAGCAACACTGGGCACAGTGGGAAATCTAACGTACTGTTCAGCCACTAATTTTGTGCTCTATGCAACACAATATGAAGTGAGTCACAAATAAACATGAGAACAGAGGGCTCCAGCTATACAGCATAACAGACTATAAGACGTAATTCAACAAATACAAGAAACAACCTGTTCTATAACTAATACTTCTACAGCACACCTCTATATCTAAGCCTCAGGGAAAATCACAGAAGATGAGGTGGAAAGATTAGAGAGCCAGGGAACCTGGATGTTTGCTGTGAGACAGTGCACCCTAGACACAACATGAAAAATGCACCAACAAACCCTTAATATGATTGCCTGAACAAGACCAGCATAATGACTGCTAGCCGATAAGCCAACATGGATGAAGAAAATTGTGCATGAAGATCTATAGGTGTGAATGGACACTGAGAGAGGGAGAATCTTCCTCCAGTGAGGCGGGAGGTACTGCCTTATCCCATGTGGTTAGCCCTGGCCACATACATGTACAAGTAAGGCTACATGGACTTAGCAGGCTTTATATATGTGTATGTATTATATGTGGTTTACATATATATGTGTGTGTGTGTGTGTATACATGTAGATATGCATTTCTATATACATATATACATACACACATTTATGTAAAGACACACTAAGAGGTGAACATGAATTGGGAGGTCAACATGAAAGGAACTGAGGAACTAAAGGGGAGAGAGAAAGCAGAAGTGATACACAGTTCTCATGTAAAATATTCTCAAAAAAATTTTAATTAAAAAAGAGAAAAAGAACATATACACTTGGGCTAACAACATAACCCCCCAATGCACTAATGACCTGTCATGTAATACCTAATAAAACAAGGAGACTGCCATTACCTTTTGTATAGCAAAAAATAGCCTGCTTAATGTTATCTTGTTCCAGAGACATTTCTGCCAACCTAACCCATTCTTCTGTGTCACTGGGATTTAAATGTGCAGCAATCAGCTCAAACTGCAACGATTTCTCCATGTCACCTTGGTCCTCGTATATCATGGCAAGTGTAGAGAATGGCTCATAAGCCAAAGGAGCTATAATAATAAGAGAGAACATAAAATAGATTACATTGGATAAAGGAATAGGCTTAAGCTGATATAGATGCTACAGTTCTAACTATAGATATTTTTCCTAATAACTAACGTCTAAATCAGTCCAAAAGAATTATAAAAACTATTCAACATAACTTAATAATATAAAACACTACATGTTTTCTTTATTTTCAAACACTCTTAGCCACTTATTATTTATTATTTACTTGTTTTAGGAATGGATCCTTGCTACCTAGCTCAGGCTGATCTCATATGTACCATGTAGACATGGTCAGTCACAAACCTGAGATGCCCACAGCCTCCCTAGTTCTAGAACCTAAAAGCAAGCACCATCATGCTCAACATCATTTTTAAACTGTCATTTTCTTTTAACAAAATACAATTTCATAAAAACCTTACTTCCTACCACGCTATCCTTATTAAAGTCTTCTGTTACTAAGGCTAAATATGGCCTAAAAACTTGGCAATTCCCCACAAGAAGCATCAGTCACATCAGTGAGGATGAACTTTCACTGTTTCAAGCTCCTGCACCATAGAGGGTAGATGCACACAAGGTACCCAAACAGCACTTCAAATATGTCAAATGTAATGATTAAGCTATATTTATAATTTGTTTTGTTTTGTTTTGTTTTTCGAGACAGGGCTTCTCTGTGGAGTTCTGGCTGTCCTAGAACTTGCTCTGTATACCAGGCTGGACTCGAACTCACAAAGATCCACCTGCCTCTGCTTCCCAAGAGCTGACATTAAAGACATATGTCACCACTGCCTGGTTTCTAAAACACTATTTATGGGGGAAAAAAATCTCAAAAACTGTCGGAGACTTTTCAAAAAATACTTCCCAAAATAAAGTTATAAGCTGAAATAAATAATATTAGACAATAAAAACCAAACATTTTCTAAAGAAGTGCTTAGTTAATCTTATTTCTAATGGGCTGGGGACATACGTAGTAGCCACAAGTTACCATAATGAATAAGCCTAGAAATTATAGTAAGACTTACAAAAGGACCAAATATAACTAAAAGAAAATGCCACGATACTGAAAGAATACATTTGTTGTATAACAACTGCCCAAGGTACACTGCAGGGCAACTGATAGCAACCACAAAAGTAATGTGATACAAAGATGTGCCATTTAATGGAAAGATTAAAGTGATGAACTTAAATGTATGTTACCAAAAGAGAGATAGAAATAATTTAGCACTACCTAATCTAGAAAATGAAACCAAAAGGAATAAATATTAAAAATTATGAAATTCATCAGAATGTTCTTCAAGTTATTTTTAACATAATATGCTCACCATTAAAAAAAAAATTAACAGCACTGAGGGCATAGCTTGGTAGAGCACCACCCAGAGTGCAGAAAGGTGTAGATTCAAACCACAACACAAAAGAGAGAAATAGATATATTGGCTAACTTAAAAAGATTCATGCTATAAAAGCCTAAAACTTCTAAAATGAACAGTTGAAAGAAAAGGGAGGAACGAGAGAGAGTTCGAAAGACATTACATACTTTCACTGAATCCCATCCTGTGGTTTCATTGCTAGTAACACCTATCACGGGAAAAGTGGCAGGTTAGCATTGCTACAGTCACCTCTAACTTCTGAAGGATTTTCTCAACAGCACATCAACTGCTTCCCCATGTGTTTAAAAAGCCAACCACTTAACTATCAGCATCATCAACAAGACCCCTCAGAAAGCACCTTGTCTTATGATTTCCATGCACATCAATATGGCCTCTTCATGTTCTCCTCGAGCAAATCGAATATTGGCTTCACCCATGAGGCCTCTCAGGGCTCGGGGAAGTTTACTCCGAGGCCTCTTCTCCTGTCCAGAGGGAAAACAATATGGAGATTAAGAATGCTCAGATTAAAACAGCAGGGTGAGGTGGTACATGTCTATAATCCCAGCACTCAGGGAGGCAGAGGCAGGCCTACAAATCGAGTCCAGGACAGCCAAGGCTATACAGAGAAACTGTCTCAGAAAATAAAAGAAACAACCACAAAAAAGTTCAAACACAATGGAAACTTCTCTCTAAAAATTCTTACTCTTCTAAACTCAGAACTAGGTTATCAATATTATATTTATAATTCTAAAGCCTTAAAAGTTAAGTCTAATTACACAAAGCAAGCAAATTCAAATGCAGCAAGGAACAAAAATATTTTATGATACTCTCCAAAGAGGAACACCAAAGAAAGCAAAACCAAAAAGAAACAAAAACCTTCCTACAGCTGAAAGTTCAGAGCACAACTAACTCCATCCTGTCAAATGGTCAGGAATTTAGTAAACAGCTGATAAACACAACAGCATCAGTATGCAACAAGACTGGTTACATTACATTGTATGCAGGACACACACTAGAAAGTCTGAAATTCATCAGAATAAACTGGGTTTAAAAAAAAAAAAAAAAACCCTGAGTTACACAATGGATCTTTCAGTAGCAAAACTACAGAACATTTGACACAGAAACAATTAAGTCTTTCATAAAATGCTCCAAAATGAAGCATGAGAAATGAATGACAATTCACAACAACCTCAAAAAAAAAAAAAAAAAAAAAAAAAAAAAAAAAAAAAAAAAAAAAAAAGGAAAAGAAAGAAAGAACAAAAAGAAAAAAGAAAGAAAGAAACCTAACCAAGACAATAAAAGACAATGAAGCTTTAAATCTCTGAAGGGACTAAGGAAGACAAAAAGACCTCTAACTCATGAATTGTCAGAATTGTATAAATGACTATTTTACCAAAGACAGTTTACAGATTTAATGCAATCCCAATCAAAATACCCAAAACATTCTTCTGAGAAATACAGGGAAAAAAAATCCTAAAACTCATATGGAACCACAAAATAAACCAGACAGTCAAAGCAATCCTGAGCAAAAAGCACAATGCTAGAGGGACTGCCATTCCAGATTTCAAGCTAAATTGTAGAGTTATAATAAAAAGAGTATGACACTGACACAGAACAGACATGCGGACCGATTCAACAAAACAGAAGACCCAAATATGAGTATACAGAACTACAGCTACTGATACTCAACAAAGATACCAAAAATATACACTGGAGAAAAAGACATCATTAAAAAAAGGTGCTGAGAAAACTGGATGTCCACATATAGAATAAAATTAAACCCCAAACTACTACCTTACACAAAAATTAACTCCAAATGGATCAAAGACCTGAATGTGAAACCTAACCCTGAAACTACTAGAAGAAAACATAGGCAGTACCCTACATGACACAGGTGTTGGAAGTGATTTTTGAATGGAACCCCAGTTCCCAAGGAATTAGGGCCAACGATTGACAAGTGGGACGTCACAAAACTAAAGAGCTTCTATACAGGAACAATCAACCAAATGAAAAGGAATCCAATGAAGTGGGAGAGGTTCTTTGTCAACTGCACATCTGACAGACAATTAATATTTAGAATATATAAAGAAATCAAAAGACAGTAAAGAAAACAAATGACTCAATTAAAAAAAATGGGTTTGAAAATATTATATTGAGGTAACCCAGACACAGAAAGACGAATGTCACATGTTCTCTTTAGGTCACATGAATCCTAGCTCCAAATCTTCAGATGTGAGCATATGACCTTGAGAAACTGCAGTGCACCTGGCAGGAGGGGAGGCTGTTACATCTAGAGATGGGAACAGGACAAAGTGCTGAAAGGAAAAACAGAAAAACAGGTGAGGAAGACTTACCTGGGGAAGAGGGAGAAGTAGAACAAAAGATGTTTAAAAAAACCCAATGGGAATTGTAAGAGTGTGTGTGTGTGTGTGTGTGTGTGTGTGTGTGTGTGTGTGTGTGTGTATTTCTGTGTTTAATAAAGTTACACTACTAGGAAGAGATAATGCTTCCCCCAAGAGTGACAGTCTACCTAACAAAAAGTTCAATGCCAGGCATAAGAAGCATCCTTTTGAGTTGTTGGTCAGGGGAAGACAGGACCCCCTACCCCTGCAAAACAATATAGACTACTGTTATGGCCCTTGGCTGTCTACTAGAAATTGAAGGTAAGACTCTCCTGATGAAGACAAAATACACCAGATAGATGATAGAGGAACAGATCTAGCACTGACCTGGAAGACTCTTCCCAGAAGATAAACTCTTATATAATCTAAATATAATCAACAGTCATACTCAGCTGTAAAGCCTAGAAACTACAGCTATGACCAGAACAGCAAGATACTCTTAAAAAGGTAATAATGGCACCTATATATATGCTGGGCACCACCTTATTGAACTTATCCAACAAGAGGAAATGCATGGCTGTAACTGTAAAGCTGGGCAAGTACTCGTAGCTGGTGAAGCCATGAAACCTAGAGAAGAAAAGCATAACTTCTGTGTTCTAAATATTCATCCTCCATCCACAGGCAAGTGTAGCTCTCCTCATCATGAAGCTTCTTTTTGCAGCAGATGGAACAATCACAAAAAGCCACAGCTGATCAAAATGTAGAGCTCAAATGACAGTCTACAACACAACTCATCTATCTGAAGCTCAGGGAACACTGCAGAAATGGGGGTGGGAGGGGGCATTTTAAAAACCAGAGAACCAGGACATCTGCTGAGAGACCGTGTCTTCTATATACGAAAGTGAAAATACACCCAAGAGATCTCAACAGTATGGTTACCTAAGTTAACACCTAAAGACCATAAACCTAAACCAAAACCGTAATACCATAACACCTAACCATAACATAACATAAACCATAACACCTAAAGAATGACCATAGCAACTGACATGCACTGTGGATGGGAGACCTCTCACAGGGCCCAACCCTAGAGAAAGAGCTATAGGTAATCAATGCTGCTGAGAAGGAAAAAATCAGATTGGTAACCCTGATAGATTACCAATCCCAAGTACATATACATAGTAACAGAATTAAATGAACTCAGCATGTTGTATACTTACGTATTTATTCTCTCCCACCTCTCGCACACGTAACAATAATTATAAAACCATGATTTTAGAGAGTGCACAGAGATGACACAGGAGGGGTTGGAGGGAGAAAATGTGGTGGGAAGTGATGTAAATACAGTATACATCTATGAAAAAATTAAATTTAAAAAGAAAGAAATGAATAATGGTAGTTGCCTCCCATTTTTTGTTCTTACTTTTGAACTATTTCCCAAGTATAACTGAAAGTTTCCTTTTCACTGACTATATCACTTTCATTCATTTTCATAAATATTAAAATAATTAACAACTTACTTTCATCATTTTTTTGGTTTCACGGTTGAGAACCATCTCCAATACAAATACATCTCCTGCGGTAGGTTGCTCTGGTGTCTCCTCTTCCTCCTCCTCTTCTTCTTCCTCTTCATCATCTTCAGTCTCTCCAAGCATGGAAGCAAAGACTTTGTGAACTGACTTACTCACTCCATCTGATGTTTCTCCTAAGGGATGGTATGTTAAAGTTTGGGGAGAAAAAAAAAATCAGTACAATAACTTTAAAATATTGCTGTTCACAGAGTACAAATTCCTTACCAGAGCAACAAACTTTGAAAGTAAAATAGCAAATAAACACCCCACCAAAAAACAGAAAAGAAAGCTGTCACAAAGCTATGTCTTTTAATCTGCAGGAATGGCTGATTCACCTTCTATAGCTCAACCAAAAAAAGCAAAATAAAGAGCAAAATCAAAAGCACATTCAGTGATAGGTAAAAGCAGAAAGGGATTTTTTTTTTTTTTTTTTTTTTTACATTATAAGGCACATTATAAAACACAAGAAAACCTAGTGGTATGGTGATCTCTAACTGAAACCCAAGACAGGAGCTTGTTAACTGACATAGCCAATTAATGAGCACCAGGCTTAGTGAGTATAATGGTTTAAATAAGAATGTCCCCCATAGGCTCATATATTTGCCACCAGGAAGTGGCACTATTGATAAGGATTGGGAGGTATGGCCTCTGAGAAAGTATCACTGGGGTTAAGCTTTAAAAGTTTAAAAGGTTAAGTTTTAAAAGCCCACCCAGGCCCAGTCTCTCTCTGTGTCTGTCTGTCTGTCTGTCTGGTCCCCTGGCCTCCTGGTCCCCCTCTGCCTTAAGAATCAGCTACTTCCAGCACCATGTCTGCATGCCACCATGATCCCAGCCAGGATGATAATGGACTAAGCCCTGAAACTGTAAGCCAGCCCCTAATTAAATGCTTTCCTTTATACGAGTTGCTGTGGTCATGTGTCTCTTCATAGCAACAGAACAGCGATAAAGACAGGCTCAAAAAACAAGCTGGAGTGTGATAAAGGAAAATGCCCAGTGATCATTTCTGGCCTCCACACATGTATACATGGGCACACATGCACACACACACGCATATGCACACATTCATAAGGAAATAAAATTACCATTATTTATAGAAGACATGATCATGTTGTATATAATCCAAAAGATTTTGCATACAAACTGTCAGACTCCATGGTTATTTGGCAAGGTTATCAGATACAAGACTTTAAAAGTTATAAGGAAATGAACCTAGGGCCTTGCTAGGTAAATACTTTACACTAAGTCATAGCCTCAGCTCCCCCCCCCCCCTTTTTTTTGAGAGAAGAGTCTCACTAAGTTCAGACTGGCCTTGAACTCATTCTGTAGCCTAGAATGGTCTTGAACCTGGGATCCATCTGTCAGAGCCTCCCTAGTACATAGGATCACAGAGGGGTAGTTTTATGTATCAGCAATAATGAACTGTAAATGACATTTAAAAGGCCGAGGCTGTGTGGTATATAGAAAACAACCTTAAGAATTGGTATACAGAAACATCAAAGAAAAAGACATAATTCTATTATTTATACACTGTTCACCTGCATGTATGCCTATACACCAGAAGAGGGCACCAGATCTCATTATAGATGTTTATGAGCCATACGTGGTTGCTGGAATTGAACTCATGACCTTTTGGAAGAACAGCCAGTGCTCTTAACCTCTGAGTTAAAAGGTTAACTGAGTTAACAGTAAGGCTGGCAGTCACCTAGTGGTTCTGCTGCTGTAATTGAACCTGATACTAAACTGTTTACTGAAGAGCTCACCTTTCCCTAAACAGATAAGCAAGGGCCCTCAGGTTGTCAGAGTTTCTTCAGCCTTTTCCTATCCCACTTGCCTGGAAGACACAAAGCTCAATCCTGTCTCCTTGCCTCTTCTTCCAACATTGTCCAGAAACTCAGGAACAAAGAGTGAGTTTTTCTATGCAGAAGATTACTTGTTCAGAGAGAAAGTACCACACAAAAGTAGAGTTTAGTTTAGCTTTCCAGCCAGGCCCCCTAAACATGAAGCTGTATTCTAACTGACACCAGTATCCCAAGTAATTTGATGTGGGCAATGAATACAATAAGGATAAGCATTCTATCACTAGAAAAATACACCAGTCACTGGAAACTGATAAACACGTATACTCCCTGAGATACTCATTTAGGCTGTGACAGGTTTAATTAGTCTGGATGTCCTGTAATACCTGGATATGAAAAGCTAAGGGCTGTGTTCTAGCTTGCTTTTTGTCGCTGTGATAAAATAGTGACCAAAAACAAGTTAAGAAAGAAAGGGCATATTTGGGTTAGAGGTTGTGGTCCATCAGCCAGGAGAGCCAAGGCAGGAGCTCAAGGCAGGAAGCCGGAGGTAGGAACTGGAACGGAGACCATGGAGGAACACTGCTCACTGGCATGGTTTCCAAAGCTTGCTAAGACAGCTTTCTTATGTAACCCAAGACCATCTGACCAGGAGTGGCACCGCCCATAGTGTACTGGGCTGGGGGCCCTTTCACATCAACCATCAGTAAGAAAATGGTACACAGACATGTCTTGTGGCCAAGAGATCCTTCTGCCTAGGTACCTCCAGTGTGTGTCAAGTTGACTAAAAACAGCACAGTCTGCTGAAGTGAGGCAGCACACTAAGAGACTTACGATGGATGTGAAGTCCCACCCGCACAGCTAATTCTGTACAGCAGTATACAACTTGGGACTGTCCGGAAAAGGTCTCCCACTGAGGAGGCCAGTTTAGAAAATGAGAATAGAGGGCTGCAGAGATGGCTCAGTGGTTAAGAGCACTGTCTGTTCTTCCAGAGGTCTTGAGCTCAATTCCAGGCAACCATGACTCACAACCATCTATAATGTGATCTGGTAGCCTCTCCTGGCATGCAGATGTAGATGCAGAGCACTCACATACATTAAATAAATAAATAAATCTTTAAAAAAAGAAAGAAAGAAAATGAAAATAAAGAGGCCCTAAACAAATGTTGGGATCAATTTTAAACCTCACAACACTGGAGCTATATCAAAACAACAGTCATGCCATACAACAGTTTGAAAAAACAACATTAAACAGTACTATGTACCAAACACTGATAAACTAGGTAATAAAAATGGAATATCATTACAATAAAAGCAAATACTGTGTTTACTACATTTCTTTGCTTAAGTGCTCTTCACATTTAAAGCTGGCAGCAATCCAGCTCAACACACCTTCATTGGCATCTTTGTTCTGGGATTTGGCAGAGTCAATTCCTGATGACGATGGAACTTCAGAATCATCTGGGTTTTCTTCAGGGGATGATTTTCCTTTTTCCTGAACACTCTGTGATTGGAAATCAGTTAAACAGTTCCATAAACTAACGCAGAGTTAACTCTCTCTGCCTCGGATAGGGCATTTTTTTTATCTTTATAAAAGCTGAACTTCCACTCCAAGTATGTGGATTCTAAATTTGAATAGTTTCAAAGCACTTCGAAGTACTTAAGTTTAGTTAATGTAAGTCATTTGCAAATATGTATAGAATAAATTAAAATAATTTCATTAATCTAACACCTTAAATAAAACATAGGGTGCTTAGAAGTCCATGAATCAAGAAACCACTAGTTAACTTCAAAAGGGTCAACAGATTTTATGTTCCCGAGGCCTTCGAATAAACAATAAACTATTTAAAAGCTCAGATATTTACTAAACTCTGAAAAACAAAGTAAAACGATGTCCCCGTTATCAAACAGTTAAGTTCACTTTTATGTGTAGAATAAAAATCACACCACCAAAACTCCTCAAAAATAGTCGCTCCAGGGGTGTAGCTCAATGGGGGGGGGGGGGGGCTTTGATCCCCAACACCACTGTACATACAAGAAAAGCAAAGGGCCTCCTTCTGAGAGAATGGTGACGCACAGCACCCCACCACGGTCACAACCTAGTGGCAAGGCCACGTTTAGAACTAGTCAAGACTACCCTGGTTCCAGGTTAGCTGGAGGGCATTGGGCTATCAGCCAATCAACACTTATTGTGGGGGCGGGGTAGGTTAGCGCCCATCGAAGAAAGCTTTTGGGTGAGGGGATGTCTTTAGGGGCGCCGAGTACCGGGGTGGGGGTGAAAATCGGAGTTTCTGGGGGAGGAAGAAGCTGTCGGGGTCCCCGGCCCACCCTGGGCAACCCACGCCGCTGTTTAGAGAAAACAAGACGGAGGAGCACCGGGGCCCAGCAGCTCACTTTCTTCTCCCGGGTTTTTCTCTCTTCTCTCCGCCTTTCGAATTCTTCAAAGGAGATTTTCCCTTCCAGGTAGTCGATAAGTTCTGGGCTGAACCCCGACATGTCTGCGGAGCCGAAGCGGCGAAAGCGGGCCGGGAAACCGGCGAAAGCTCTCAGGCCCTACAGGGCACCACGGAGAGTCGGACGCGGCGTCCGTCCCGGAAACCGTCCCGGCCCGCGCCGCTACCGCGCGCTCGAGTTCCGCCGGCACGCTAGGCCCAGGGCCTCCTCCTACAGACCGGGAGCATCCAAAGGCATCTTTCAGGCACCGGCCTCTCTTGGGGTTGCGGTTGAGAGAAACTTTTGATCTGGGGGTGCAGCACAGTGGTAGAGCATTTGCCTGAATTTCTATCTCTAACACCAATCAACTTTTTTGTCCCGAATATTCAAACTTTTAAAGGGGATCAGACTCTTCATACGGGGCGTCTTACTGTTTTGCCTGTTACATATATCTCTCAAAATAAGCTTTAGAAACCTGTAAGAGAAGAAAAAGGAAGAGGGGTGGGGATAGTAATAAACCACAGAAGATATATTTTAAAAAAAAAAAAGGCAAAACCTGAGGAGGAAAGGTTTAAGATGGGGAGAGGCGGGCGGGGGAGAGCGGGGCGGAGGAGGAGAGGAAGGGATTGGGGGAGAGAGGTCAAACATGCATATGCATACACAGGAGAGGGAGGGAGAGGGAGAACATTATTTTCGACTCCTAGGAGCTCTTGTGATTTGCATCTTATCTTGTATTATAGCTTGTTCTTTATCCTGTTCTAGAGACACTACCTATAAACACTGAGACCATTAGGAACATTAGCTTATGTGTCATTATAAACGCAACTAACCTAATAGCATGTATTCCAAACATTTGTGAATCAAGTTGAATGAAACTCCAAGAGCTTTTGGAACTTTGGGCAAAGGAGTTGAGTTCAGCATAGTTCTGGCTTCAGAGATAAGTTACGGGAAGCCTGTCTTTAACCATCTTTATTATAATCCAGGTGAAGGGGATCTGTAGGGGTGTGGCAGAAAACTATCTCATTTTTAGGAGTCCCTGTGTTTCTCCTGAGGAAGGATCCTCAGTGTTCTACACAGGCATGAAAACATACACTGGCAGATGGAGTGATGTTAATTTAATGCCCAGAAACCACTATGAAGTTTACTCTCCTGAAATCTTCACACAGTTGAGGAACTGTGCCTAAGAATCTATGGCTGTCTCCAGACTAACTCGAAGGCGGAAAGAGAAAGAGAGTGAGGGGCGGTTACTTGGAAAGGAAAAGACTCTCCTAGGACCCAGTGCTTAGGCTGGTTTCTGTTATTGTTGACTGCTGGAAAAATGAGCCTCACAAGTCAACAGACGCAGATACATATTAAAGAGGAAGAGGTTTGTGATGGAGGTGGGAGGAGATATGTCCTGCTAAGGAGCATCTCCAGGACATGGAAGTATTTTTAGAGGTCGGAATATAACAGAGTGTCTTAAAACCTAACTTGTTTTTCATTTTCGACTTCCTTATAGTGATTTGTACACTGGTGAGTCAGAGGCAGCCACATTACCTTGAGATGAATCCCAATTCTTACAGCAATCATGAAAATGCCAACAAGAAACATTTTGGTCTTTCAGACTGATTTTTGAGATTCAAGATGGAAAGGAAGCAGAGCATTGAATTTATACCATGATCAATTGAATTAAAAGAGTACAGAGTGGTGACTTCACTCTCTTGTTAGAGAAGTACACAGGAAGAGTTGTGATGCTCCTAGGAACACTGTTTTCCCATGGGCTTCTTACTCTTCTGCAAAAGCATGAGAGTCTTCTCTCCTGAACTTCATCTTTGTAGATCAAACATCATGAAAAGTAGATGTCTCTGTCTGTCTGTCACTGCCGCTGTCTCCCCTTCCCTCCCTCCCTCCTTTCCTCCCTCCCTCTCTCCATCTCTCTCTCTCTCTCTCTCTCTCTCTCTCTCTCTCTCTCTGTCTCTGTCTCGCCTCCTCTCCTGAAACTTACTATGACGAGCAGGCTAGACTTAAACTCTCAGATATTCACCTGCCTCTGCCTCTGCCTCTTGAGTGCAGGGTTAAAACTGTGTATGGACACACCTGGCCTACACTTGTTTTCTAATACACTATTTTCAAGCAGGTGTGGTGGTGCACACCACCTTTAATCCCAGCACGTGGGGGGCACAGGCAGGAGGATCTCTGTGAGTTCAAGGCTAGCCTGGTCTACTAAGAGAGCTATAAGACAGCCACTGGCAGTTACACAGAGAAATCCAGTCTTGGGGTGGGGGAGCAAAAGCAAAACAAACGAACAAAGGATAGATACTCTTCCCCTCTGGGGCAAAAGTTGGGCCTGTTTCTCCTGGCAGTCTCATAGTAAAGGGGCATCTCCTAAACCCCTGGGCCCATGTTCACATGCCTCCTTCAGTAAAGCAAGCCTGAGAGCCCCATGAAAGCATGAATTATGCCCCCTGCCCCACCTGAGCCTCTGGGTCTCTGTCCAGTCGTCTCATTGCCTATCAGGACTGATGAAAGGTAGAAGAGTAGGATTTTGCAAGTAGGATAAAAATCTTCAACACTCCCAGAAACCGGCGACCACACTAGATCCAGAACAGAGGACAAGAGGCCATATCCTGGAAATAGAATCCTCACTGAAGAGGTTCAAAGTCAGGGTGGAAAGGCTGCCAAGGACCTATCTATAGAGATGCACTAAAGGACTCTTGTCAGTCTATGGCTCTTGAAGTACATTTGCTTCCAATTGAGGAAACTCTTCAACTCTGGACCTCCTGTGAACGTGTTCTCTTTTCTGTGGGCTTTAGAAATGTGTGTGGAGAGGTTCTGCACAGCAAAACCATAGGGCAGAGTTGAAGGGGGTTCTAACATGAAGGGTCTGAGGAACAAGCGTATGAACAGTCTCATGTTGTGAAGACAGCCTTCTCCAACTGCCAGTAGTACTACCTTTATTAAATTAAAACCAGCGTGGGACACACAGATACCCTGAGGAGGAATCTTTAAGCTGAAGGGTACATACCTCTGCCTTGTGATTTACAAGCTCATAGCTAAAAGTCTCCCGTGGGTACCCATTAGTTTTGAGGACTTTGAAATTAATAAGTACTCACATAGATTAGAAGTGATGCTAGAAAAGGAAAAATGAGTCTCTAGTTCCATTTAGGAACTCCGTGGTAGAGAGGAACCCCTCATCCAGCCACTTACCTGAATAAGCTGCTATACTTTAATGAAGAATAACTCACTAATAATTACTTATATTTTTAAATGGTGACTAATAATCTTCTTCACTAAATCAGCTTTTGCTTTAGTTTATGTTTAGTATTGTGTGAAGGATGGAAGACGCACTTGAATTTAACAAGTATTCATTAAACACTTGCTACATGACTGACATTGTGCTAGGTTCTAGAGAACAACAAACGAACCACATAATGGTTTCTGCTCACAAACACATCAGAACTTGTTCTTGCACAAATATTTTATTCTTTGTATTAAACATCAACAGTCCACACAAAGTTACAGTAAGCTGTCTTGAAATACCAGGACACTGCTGTGTAAATTCTAGTACAATGTTTCTCGCTTGGATCATACAGAAAACATTGCCACCATTCATAAAAACGCCGACAGGAAAAGCAGCTATGTCAAATGAAAATATGGGAATGGGAATGGCTTGGTGTGAGTTATGACAAGGAGAGTGGCTGGATAGGAGGAGTGGGGAATTCGTCCTCTGCTACTGTCCCTTGTAGAGTGACTTGCACTTAAAGTAAGGCTGAGCTATTTGACATGGACAGTCTCTACCCTTGAACACATCGTAAAAGCATCTCGCAGAGACCTTACGGCAAATAGAATCCCTTTGCTTTCTATTTCAAGTCCATTTGGGTGTTCATCGCCCTCACTGACGATAGCACTAGCAGCAACGCTCTCAGGGAACATGCTAGAGTAGGGCTGCATCGTCTTTCTATGAAAAAAATCCTAACTCTGAAACCCTATTACATGATACGCTGCTCTAAACAGGGCTGAGTCCCTATTATTACATACAATATACTATAGCAGCAAATAAGCACATCTTGTTTAAATAAAAATACTGTTTGATAATATATAATAAATATTAAAAAACAACTTGAAGCATGTTTCAATAAACTAACTAGGAAAATTATATCATTTCACATGTGGTATTTTTGTAACTCCTTCAAATACATGCAATCTCCCACTCAATAATTACAGTCATAAAAGGGGAAAACACTGAAATATGCATGTCATTATCATATGTTGCAAAGGTCCAACTGTTTACATATAAAATCTGGAAATGTAGATAAAATAACTCTAAACTGACTAATACAGAAGGGAAATGCACACACACAAGACTTCAGTCATAGTTGAATTTTCTACTAAAAAGCTCTTCTGCAGCTTTCACATGGTCACCTGAAAAAGCAAGAGAGAATTTCAGTGCAGGACAACAAAGAGCATTGGATAACACAAAGACCTCCCAAACAATACCCCAAACCACCAAAAGATGAGCTCATAAATCAGAGACACTGGAAGCTGTTTCCTCTACAAAGCTGAGTCCTTCCTGTGTGTTTTGTCTCCTGCCTTTACACATTCGCTCTTCCATGTCACATGGAAGTGTTTATCCTACTTCCTCTGAGGTTTCCCATGTGCTGCATAGTGAAGTGGTGATGTTGCTGTGCCTCACCGAGCAGGAATTACAATAGGGAAAACTGCTCTTTGTCTTGAGTTCCATACCCTAGAGCCTCTGCGTGAAGAAACAGTTTCATTTTCTCACTTTAGGGCAGCATTCAAATACATATTCCGCATGGTAAATCCCATCTTTTTAGAATAACAACAATTTTCTGTCCTCACGTTTATGGAAAGCCTTTCACCAAGGAAGTAAAGAACAGTGGTTGCTGACTCCCACATACTTTTGGAAGAATGGGGAATGATTTTATAATTATGATCCTGTTGCCTTTATTGTCCAGCTAAACGGGCTAGAATCATAATGTTATGAATGTAACATGCTTGCTGCTTCTAAAACCATACCTATTTGATAAGAATGCAAAAAAAATTAATTAAAATCTTAATTATAAATATATTTTAAATGCTTCCCTATAAGAAAAATGCCATCTTTGCTAATACTGTAACTTGCTTTTCTAGGTGAAGAAGGTCAGGGGCAGAGACATGCACAGCCCTTGTCCCGCCACTCATTTAACTTTGCCATCTATTTTAAGACACCAATTTAACTTATTTCTTTACATATAATTTTCCATGTAACTTATCTATATGGTCAGGTCCGAAAAAATGCAAAAGTATGTGCTAGTTCATTAGTATAAAATTCCTAGAGTGACAACACTATGGTTTTAGTGTACTTCTCTAAAAAGCCATGCTTCAACATCATCACTGCCATTTATTTTAAAAACCAGACTATGAAATGCCGGAGACAAATCTAAATATTTGATAGTGATGAGTATCATTAAAACTTAAGGACTTAAGTTTTAGAACTTAAAATTTTAAAACTTGAGGACTTAAGCCTAAGAAATCTTCTCAAAATCTCTACTACATGAGCCGTATGCTTGAACAGATCCTGGGACTGAAGGGACAGCATTTACCTAGGCTAAGAAGCTTTCAGCCCTTGTGGGACGCAGGGAGGGAGTTTTTCTGCTCTTCATAGTCTGCAAATGCAGAAGCGATATGTTCCGACTGGAAAGAGAGAGGTCTGGGGTCCTCATTCATGGAGAAGGTGTTTGGAAGGCTCCCAAGATCAAGTCCTCTGCCCTTGAAGTAGGCCTGAAGGCTTCTGAAAAACTAAAGAGACAAAAAATGCTTAGTGTCCTATATAAATGAAACACCCAGCCTCTCAAAGCCGGCTGCCCATTTCCCAGGCCTTTCTTCTCCCTTTCTTCTCACCCGAGAAGCAGAAAGGTGACAATCTGGACAGGCCTTATTAAGCTTCCCCCATTTGTTCCCAACCCTGCCTGCTTTCTAACATTTTGGCTCTCACCATCCTTGGTGGCAACCCAGGGAAGGTATACATTCATTATTAAGTCGCACTTTAGGCAGAGACCCACAGTGAACCACCCCTGAGCACACGATCAGAGCTGAAGCTGAACTCCAGAGCAATCGGCTCCATTTGCCTCTGCCTGAGGAGGCCCACTTATTATCCTGTCTCAGTTTCCACAAACCCTTCAACCTGCAAATGAGCAGGTTGAAGCAGACTGCTTGATTGCTGGAAGCGTACATTGTTTTAGCTCACATCACTTTCTTTTGAAAAACTACAATTGAAATAGACCTGGGCATACTCTTAAGAGTATTTTACTTATCTTTTTAATTCTATTTTCTAGATACCCATTTGCTTGAAATTTATAACTGCACAGGGGCAACTTACAATTTCTGCAAATAAGTTTTGCAAATACTGTTGTGGGATTCAGTAGATGCCTAACAAAAACCAATTCTCTCCTGCTTGCCCTCTCCTCTTCTCTCCATCTCCTCCTCACCCCCTCCCCCTTTTTTCTCCTATTCTGGGGATCAAACCCAGGTCTTTGTGCATGCCAGGCAAGCTCTCTATAACTGAGCTAAATCCCAATACCCTTTTCATTGTGTATGTGTTCAGAAATCAATGCTGTAAGGTTGGTGTATATATGATATCACTTACAAATGGGATGTGCTGTATATATAAAAACTCACTTCTAATATAAACTCGTATCTCCATATAGAAACAATGTAAATTGGCTAGAGAAATACCAGAATGCCAGCTACCAGGAGAGCATAATCTAGTCCTCTCCTGATGAGAATCTTCTTCTCCATATAGAAACAATGTAAATTGGCTAGAGAAATACCAGAATGCCAGCTACCAGGAGAGCACAATCTAGTCCTCTCCTGATGAGAATCTTCTTAACCCTTGATTGCCTCCTTAGAATTCTTGAGAGATACCAGTACATTCCTCAGTGAGTTTCCCCAGGTCTGTCCTTACCAGTTCTCTGTTTCTGGGGTTGCTCAGTGGCTTCCACATGTCTTTATTTCTCAGAGTGTCTCCATGTACCTGGCTGGTCAGTGCCAGGGCAGCCCAGAGCAGCAGGAGGTTTACTTTGGACATGGTGCTGTATAAAATGGGGGAATGAAGGTCACCAAAACAGTCAGAGCGAAGAGAAAGAAACATGGATTCAGGCAGATAAGAAAAAAGCAGTACATTGGCTCACCTACATTTTATAGTCATTTTTTAGATTTGTCTGCAAATGAGACTCTACAAATCTAGTGGATTAACTTAAAGCACTTCAGAATGATGGAAACTCTATACTGTGCTGAGCAAAACAATTGTGACTATACCTAGAAAGTCTAAGTCTGCCATTTGTATCTTTGAAAAAAATAGACACTTGGTAGTCTCAAAAAATGGCACAAGATTTAAAATTTTGAAAATCTTAAATGACTTGTGTCTTAAATCAGCAGACTTGTTAAACTAGAAATGAGATGAAAGTAGAGAAGTAATAGAGAAATACTTTGGCTAGGGGTATACCTCTGTGGTAGGGTGACTGCTTAGCATTCACAAAGACCTGGGTTCAATCCCCTGGTACTACAAAACAGGGAGAGAGAAAGACAGATACAGAAAGATGGGAAGAGAAAACTAGGAAGGAGAAGGAGAAAAGGAGGAGAAAATGGAGAAGGAAGAGGAGAAGGAGAAAGAAGAGGAGAAGGAAGAGGAAGAAGAAGAAGAAGAAGAAGAAGAAGAAGAAGAAGAAGAAGAAGA